GCTGTGCGCAATTGGCTGCCGCGTTCGCCCACAAATGTACAGTCAATTCACTTTACAGTGTGTTCTGTGAAGCGCTTTGGGACGTCCTCCCGACGTGAAAAGCACTATATCAAATGCAAGGATTATTATTATTATTATTATTATTATTATTATTATTATTATATCAAGGACAATGATTAATATTATTACTATTATTATTATTGTTTTCTCCTGCCCTGCAGTTACGATGAAAGACTGAAATCAAAAGGCAAAGGTGATTCAGGAATGGTTGTCTGAATGCAGGTACTTCGATTATAATGAAACCCTCATCACCTCGCACTAAATTGTTCCATATATTTATTTATATTTATTTATATCATAGATTTATTACACATATTTATATTGTTCCACCATCTGTGGCCATAATTTCAGCCACGAGGCCCTGAAACTCTGAAACACTCTTCCTCTAATCCCTCCGCCTTGCCCCCTCCTTCCTCATCTCCCACAGTCACCCCCCCCCCCCCGGCTCAGCATCATTTTCCGCTACTGTCAAGCTGTCTGAGACGCCACCCTGCGTGAGGGGCGCGATATAAACGCAAGTTGTTGTTGTTATTGTGGAATTCTAGTATTTGGTGTTTCCTTTCATCCACTCAGGATCCTCTAGTCCAGCTACAAATGTGTTTCTTAACAGGATTCACTATTAATTGTAGCCTATCTTATCTTTCCCTGTTTATTAATACTATTATGGGCATTCCTCCTCTGAACTTTCATCTTGTCTACCTCTTAAAACTGTAAGTACACCATGCTACATTCTTTCTCCTTCCTGCACTCTTATTTTGCTCAAACCACATTGAGTTGTTTCTGCTTTGAGTTACTTTTTTCATGGTTCGCGAGACTATCTGTCTGTCTTCCTTTCCTCATTCAAAATCCAAGCTTGGGTATATCATCATAGAGTCCTGAACTAAAGTCCCTGCAATAAAAATGATTAGGCCCATTCCAGTGGAGATGTAGGAATGGACGAAACTTTTGATGTGTTTTGCTTTACTTGCTTTAAAATTCAGGAAATTAACTAAAACAACAACAACTTGCATTTATAGAGCGTCCTTCATGTTGGCTAATGTCTTGGAGCCCTGTACAGTGTTGGGGTTCGGAAGCTGAGCAAGAAAAAAGGGCAGGGGGATGAAATCCGAGACACGGTCAAAGAGTTAGGTTTTCAGGTGAGATTTAAAGGTAAATAAAGAGGAGATGAGGTGGAGGGATTGAGGCAGGGAGTTCCATGGAGTTAGTATGATTCTCTATGTTAAAGTTATTCCCAACAGATAGAATACGTGGGTAGAAGCCTATGATAGCAATAGATTTCATAAATTGTGAAAAGAGAAGGTTTAATGGTTCAAATGACTTTATCTTGTTGTGTCCTTTCTTAGGTTCCTATATTCTCTTAACATAAGATTCATATTCTAAATGGATGGCCATTAATAATAGATGTCTCAAAGCGCTCCACAGCGTACACTGTAAAGTGTAGTGACTGTGTATTGTGTGTGGGAAACACAGCAGCCAATTGCGCAACGTCCCACAAACTGTCCCCATTAGTTAATAATTCATGGCAGAGACTGAAAGTCTTTCCTATCTGTAAGAACCCCATCTATTGTGTAAGTTATTAAGCATGTGGTTAAATTGTACATATGGATAGCCCACAACAATCCTGTTTAAGCAACAGAAAGACATTATGGTGCTTGCTTATCCTGGGAGTCAATTTAATAAAACTGTAAATAAAATTTCAATCATGTTCTTGTTCTACTGTTTTTTGTTTAAATTTCTAATTCAGTATTGGATTTGCTACAGAGATATGCCTCATCAGGAACCACACAGATAAAGATACAAATACAAATGAGTTATGACAGTTGGATGTTATATTCTATTTTTTCAACTGTGTAGAAGATTATATAGAAGCAGGTTTAAAAAGAGATTATGGACCTGGATTAGTAACTTGGAAGAAGTAGAAGATAAAGAAGCTTGGTCAAAATGGAGGAAAATGTTAAGTGGGGTGCTTCACGTGGCTGTTTTGGGGCCTTTCCTATTCCCAGTAGACATAAATGACCTGGGTTTGGGACGTCCTCCCGGCGTGAAGGGCACTATACAAATGCAATTTGTTGTTGTTATTGGATTCAGAAGCTCAGTGCAAGGCAGTTAAATTTGCAGCTGACATTGAGCTAGGTAGATAACTGAATCAGAGGCAGCGTAAATCTTACACACAAAGCTGGACAGAGTATGCACTGATATGAATATGGATAAAGTATGGACTGATATGCCAATATTCAGGAACTCCTTCTCTCGCCTCCTCCATCTTGCCTCTTTTCTTGGAGTCCTGTAGCTCAGGGTTAGAGCACTCGCTTTGCAAGCAAGAGACCTGAGTTCAATTCCAGGCAGAGGGCGAAACCTTGGGCAAGTTTCCTTACTCCACACACCTAATAATAATCCCTCCAAAACAAAACAATAATAAATTGGTCATTTTCAATCCACGACTGTTTGTGGGACACTGCTGTACGCAATTGGCTGCCGCATTTGCCCACAAATATACAGTCAATTCACTTTATAGTATATTCTGTGAAGCGCTTTGGGACGTCTAGAAGACGTGAAAAGCGCTATATCAAATGCAAGGATTATTATTATTATTATTATCTAAAGCGACCCTAAAACCTACCTTTTTGATCATACCTACAGTCATCTTCCTCCTTCTCCTCTCCTACCCACTGTCCTGCACAATCTATAAAGTGCTCCAAGACTTGGTGAATACAAGTTGTTATTACTAATGAAGATAATTTCAAGTTACTGCATACAGGCATTAAAAATAGGATGTTTGGGATAGAACTTGTCATGGGAAAACAGAGCTATGTGTGTTCATCAATTCATTCCTCGCCATGTCCAAACAATGTGAAACAGCAAATCTATAGAACACAGTTCTATTTAAGGTGTTACAATATAAGGTGCCATCAGATTAAGGGAACTACTCAGATCCTACAGGCAATACAAAGAGGAACCTGTAGAAAATTCATCCTCTGCTATGAAACATTCTATAATCACAAAGAGCTTTCTGAGAGAGAAAGTATTTCTCCCTGCCCTCCCAACCATTGACCACAAAACAGACCGTTTCCCCCTCTCAACTTCCTCTGTCACTAAATTAAATGAAGCGTTATTTGCTTTAAAGTACAGCACATTGCTTTCACATAAACACTTCATTCATTTGTCAAAGAACGTTCTGTTCATAAACTGCACAGTTGGAAAATCAATGTTGGGCTTCCCACCGAATCATTCATTCAGCAACTCAGTCAAAACATGCAGAGAATACACTCAACAAAAACATTTTGTTTGCAAAATTGGTTCAGTTGCGAACTGCATTGTTGCCTCAAGGCTACTTCCATGGCTTTGGTGAGATGAACAAATTCAGGGTATCTTTGTATCTATTGTTGAATATTCCAAACATGTTATGCAAAGCCTTCAGCTCAATCATTTGTCGATATGTTGATAACTGATATAAAAGATGCATTGAATGTTAATAAATATGAGCAATCAAACTACTCTATGTATAGCTTTCACTCTGTGCTCCTACATTCATTCAGAATTTTCATTGGGCTGATAATGGAATCCTTCTTTCCTGCAATACAGATCTATATATAGTCCAGGGAGAGAGAAGAAATATGTGTAAAAGGTAAATGATCTATTGGGATTCTATATGGAAGTGGATAGTAATGGGTTTGGGTCATTTTATTTCACAGTAAATGTGAAGAGTTAGGCCATTTAGAACCTACATTACATTAGCAATGAGTAAAAAAATCAAAGATTGTTTTCCGTAAGAATTCTATACAATCTGAGTGAATGGGAAGGGACTTGACACATTAAGATTCTATACAACTTGCTGAGTCCACTGAAAATTTAGATAATAGGAATGAATGGAAAGACTTTTGGAGATTAGAGCTATTGCAATTGTACATATTGGTGCAGTTTAATCCATTGGAATTTAGTGCTTCAAAGAGAAAAGCAACATTTTCGACCCACTTTTTAACGGCTGTTGTTAAGTGGAATGAACAGTTATTGTAGCCTTTGCTCTTCTGCCACCTTGTGGTCAACATTTAACAGCTCAATATAATAATAATATGGCCTAACGGAACCATGATTGAGAATATAAGAAAGCATAAATGAGAAAAGGCCATTCGATGCATCAAGCCAACTCCTTCTCCAGCCACACAAAACCTATTCCTCACTGTGGCACCAAATCCAGTCAGCTATGTTCAAGGTATGGACGTATAAGATGGAACGAAACATTATGGGGCCGTAATCTTTGCATTTGATATAGTTCCTATAACACTGGAATGTCTTAAAACCCTTGACAAGTAATTTCTGTCAAGTGTATTGACTGTATATTCATAGGCAAGGCTCTTAGAAGAAGAATGGCATCTTGAGGTATCAAAACTGTAGGCACCTGTGAGTGCCACATGAGTCCATCCTTCCAAAGATACCAATGAATTCATGTGCCGACAGAAAGGTCCTAAAACTATTCTGCCGCTTTCTTTGGTTATAACGTAATAAGTATAATCATCCCTGTATCTGATATAGCGCCTTATCACGTCTTCACAGGATACGCCGTAAAGTGTAGTGACTGTATATTTTCCAGGTCAAAGCTTTGAGGGGTTCACCTTTGAGTGGGCAAGAAGAAATTTTGACTAACTTTTCTTGAGGATATTAAAGTAATTCAGGGGACAGAGAGTGAGGGGGTGGGAGTGGGGGGGGGATTGTTATAATGAAGGGGAGCAGTGCCCAGACCATGGGGGGGGGGGGTAACAGATGGAGCCATTCCCACTCCATCCTCTCTGGGATCAGCTGTATTGTTGGCCGCTCGTCTCGGCTCTCGACTGGCTGCCCCTAGCGCGGTGCATTGTGGGCGGTGTAGTTCTTTGGCGGCGGCCTTGCGGTCGGCGGGGCGGCTGCGCGGACTACACCTCCCGGCGGGCCCCGCGGCTGGCGGCCTCGGCTGGAGCTGGAGGGCAGGGTTTGCAAATGGCGCCGTGTCCGCGTTGCGGTTGAGAGGAGAGTCGCGGTGCACAGCAGCAATGGCGGATAAGACGTGGGGGACGGACTTCGCCGCCACCGTGTACGGGGCCATCGCGGGCAAGTCCAAAGTGGCGCCCAGCGTGGATTTCGACCACAGCTGCTCGGACAGCGTCGAGTACCTGACCCTGAACTTCGGGCCTTTCGAGACGGTGCACCGCTGGAGGCGGCTCCCGCCCTGCGACGAGTTCGTGGGAGCCAGTACCCCCCCCAACACGGTCCCCCCCCCCAACAGCCTCCCCCCCCAACACGGCCTCCCACAACACGGTCCCCCCCAACACGGCCCCCCCCAACACGGTCCCCCCCCCAACAGCCTCCCCCCCCCAACACGGCCTCCCACAACACGGTCCCCCCCAACACGGTCCCCCCCCCCAACACGGCCCCCCCCAACACGGTCCCCCCCCCAACACGGTCCCCCCCAACACGGCCCCCCCCCACAACACGGTCCCCCCCCCAACAGCCTCCCCCCCAACACGGCCTCCCACCCCCACAACAACAGCCCACCCCCCCCAACACGCCCCCCCAACACGCCCCCCCCAACACGGCCTCCACCCCACAACAACAGCCCCCCCCCAACACGGCCCCCCCCCAACACGGCCCCCCCCCAACACGCCCCCCCCAACACGGCCTCCACCCCCACAACAACAGCCCCCTCCCCCAACACGCCCCCCTCCCAACACGGCCCCCCACCCCCACAACAACAGCCCCCCCCCAACACGGCCCCCCCCAACACGGCCCCCCCCCAACACGGCCCCCCCAACACGGCCTCCACCCCCACAACAACAGCCCACCCCCCCGCAACACGGCCCCCCCCCCAACACGGCCCCCCCCACAACAACAGCCCACCCCCCGCAACACGGCCCCCCCCCAACACGGCCTCCACCCCCACAACAACAGCCCCTCCCCCAACATGCCCCCCCCAACACGGCCCCCCACCCCCACAACAACACGCCCCCCCCAACACGCCCCCCCCCAACACGGTCCCCCCACAACAACAGCCCCCCCCAACACGGCCCCCCCAACACGGCCCCCCCCAACACGGCCCCCCCCCCCCACAACAACACGCCCCCCCAACACGGCCTCCCACCCCACAACAACAGCCCCCTCCCCCAACACGCCCCCTCCCCCAACACGCCCCCTCCCCCAACACGCCCCCTCCCCCACACGCCCCCCCAACACGGCCTCCCCCCAACAACAGCCCAACCCCCCCAACACGCCCCCCCAACACGCCCCCCCCAACACGCCCCCTCCCCCAACACGCCCCCTCCCCCAACACGCCCCCCCCACAACAGCAGCCCCCCCCCACAACAACAGCCCCCCCACAACAACAGCCCCCCCCAACAGCCCCCCCAACAACAGCCCCCCCCCCAACACGCCCCCACAACAACAGCCCCCCCCAACACGCACCCCCCACAACAACAGCCCACCCCCCAACACGCCCCCCCAACAACAGCCCCCTCCCACACGCCCCCCCAACACGCCCCCCCCAACAACAGCCCCCCCTCATAACAACTGCCCCCCCACAACAACAGCCCCTCCCCCCAACACGGCGTCCAGGCCTCCAACCCCACCACAACAACCCTTCCCCCCCCCACCAGCTCTCTCCCCACCCCCCCACCAGCTCTCTCTCCCCCTCCCCCACCAGCTCTCTCTCCCCCCCCCACCAGCTCTCTCCCCCCCCCCCCACCAGCTCTCTCCCCACCCCCCCCACCAGCTCTCTCCCCACCCCCCACCAGCTCTCTCTCCCCCTCCCCCACCAGCTCTCTCTCCCCCTCCCCCACCAGCTCTCTCTCCCCCCCCACCACGCTCTCTCCCCCCCCCCCCACCAGCTCTCTCCCCCCCCCCCCACCAGCTCTCTCTCCCCCCCCCACCAGCTCTCTCTCCCCCCCCCCCCCCACCAGCTCTCTCTCCCCCCCCCACCAGCTCTCTCTCCCCCCCCCCACCAGCTCTCTCTCCCCCCCCCCACCAGCTCTCTCTCCCCCCCCCCACCAGCTCTCTCCCCACCCCCCCACCAGCTCTCTCTCCCCCTCCCCCACCAGCTCTCTCCCCTCCCCCACCAGCTCTCTCCCCCTCCCACCAGCTCTCTCTCCCCCCCCACCAGCTCTCTCTCCCCCCCCACCAGCTCTCTCTCCCCCCCCACCAGCTCTCTCTCCCCCCCACCAGCTCTCTCTCCCCCCCCCACCAGCAGCTCTCTCTCCCCCCCCCACCAGCTCTCTCTCCCCCCCACCACCAGCTCTCTCTCCCCCCCCACCAGCTCTCTCTCCCCCCCCAGCAGCTCTCTCTCCCCCCCCCCAGCAGCTCTCTCTCCCCCCCCCAGCAGCTCTCTCTCCCCCCCCACCAGCTCTCTTCCCCCCCCCACCAGCTCTCTCTCCCCCCCCCCACCAGCTCTCTCTCCCCCCCCCACCAGCTCTCTCTCCCCCCCCAGCTCTCTCTCCCCCCCCCCCAGCTCTCTCTCCCCCCCCACCAGCTCTCTCTCCCCCCCCCACCAGCTCTCTCTCCCCCCCCCACCAGCTCTCTCTCCCCCCCCCACCAGCTCTCTCTCCCCCCCCCACCAGCTCTCTCTCCCCCCCCCAGCTCTCTCTCCCCCCCCAGCTCTCTCTCCCCCCCCAGCTCTCTCTCCCCCCCCAGCTCTCTCCCCCCCCCCCCCAGCTCTCTCTCCCCCCCCCCCCCACAGCTCTCTCTCCCCCCCCCAGCTCTCTCTCCCCCAGCTCTCTCCCCTCCCCAGCTCTCTCCCCTCCCCAGCTCTCTCTCCCCCCCCCAGCTCTCTCTCCCCCCCCCCAGCTCTCTCCCCGCCCCCCCCAGCTCTCCCCCCCCCCCCCAGCTGAGTGTTCCCAGTGACTTCTGTTTTTGTTTTCGGATTTCCAGCATTTGCAGTAGTTTTGCGTTTTGCTTTGACTTGTGGTGTGGTCCTCGCTGGATGAGCAGTGGGAAAGCTTGTCAGATAGCAATATCAATGGCTGACTAAAAATAAAATCTCGGCAACTCCTCTTTACCTCTCACATCTCTCAGGGTAATGTTTCCCCCATTTTAAAAAAACACACACCACACTCAGAAAGCCCATCCCCTCCCATCAGCACTTTATCTAACTACTGTTATCCCCTTCCCCAAATCCCAATCAAACTATAATAATAAATAATCTTTGCATTTGATATTGCGTGCTATCATGTCTTCAAGGCGTCTCAAAGTGCTACACAGAATGTTCTTTAAAGTGAATTGATTATATTTTATAGGCGAAACCTCTTCCATTTCACAATAATTTCTTTGAAACACTTTGAGACGTCCTTCCGACGTGATAAGATGCTATACCAAATGCAAGGATTATTATTATTAACCTGGCTCATTTGACCCCTATATCCTTCTCCAGCAGCTCTCCTCACTTCAACCTTCATGATTCTGTCCTTAAATGATTCAGATCCCACCTCTCACACCGTCTCCATTTCATCTCCACAAACAGTTTGTCCTTTAGGTTTCGACCCCCAGCTCGGGACTGAAACACTGATTGTCCAGTGCCTTGGGACGTCCTCCTGACGTGAAAGGCGCTATACAAATGTAATTTTATTGTTGATAGGGCACCATATCAAATGCAAGTATTAATATAATTTCAATATCTACATTAGCCCAGTGATGCGGGTAATTTTATAGTAGTTTTCTCTTTGATTTGGTGGATGCAAGCTCCATATTTCATTAACATTTGGACAGAGAAAATGTGTGAACTTATTATTGATGTTTCTTTTTTATAGACGAAGCAAACATACTGTTGTGGCCTACAAAGATGCCATCTACGTATTTGGAGGAGACAACGGGTAAGTACTCTATTAGAGGAGTAACAAGGTAATGGATGCCTTTAAAATACAATATCCTCGTATGGTATTGTGGGACTAATAGTAGGTTCTCAATGGAGCCATTCTATAGGGAAAGTTAAGCATTGTTGGGTGAAAATATTTTTACTGGTAACTAAAGTAATTTTGAGAGACATTCATGAAAATAAAAATTGGCAATAAAAATGTGTAGATAAATCCTTTACACACAGGTAAAGCATTTATTGTTTCATTATGACTACTCAACACTCCAATTCCACAGCAAAGCAAAATTTGAGTTCTGCTTAGGATGATTTCTCATATTTTGCTTTCTTTCTGCAGGAAGAACATGTTGAATGACCTGTTACGATTCGACGTGAAGGACTGCTCCTGGTGCAGGTTTGTACAATTATAGCACAAGTTTATTTGGTTCTGACGGGTCTGATTTGTAGCACTTCACTGCGACTGCCATTTCTTCACTTATGCTAAGGATTGACAGTTGAGTACTTCCAAATTCATCCCAACCACCTTGTGCATTGGTGGGAAAGAAGTATTGCTATACTTCTTGCTCTATATGTTGCAGTAGTGAGGGTTAGAGAATGGTATTGAGAGGCAGGGATTCCTCAGCATTGCTCACATTCTGAAATAGGACTGTTAAGAAAAGTTGTGCTATACTGTATGCAGTTCTGGTCCCCACATTATAGAAGGGATGAAAGGGCACTGGAGAGGGTGCAAAACAGGTTCACAAGGATGATCCCAGAACTGAGAGATTATGCCTGCCAGGAAAAGCTGAACATACTTGGACTCTTTTCTCTTGAAAAGAGGAGGGTAAAGGGTGACCTGATAAAGGTCTTTAAAATGATGAAAGATTTTGATAGGGTAGACGTAGGGAAGATGTTTCCACTTGTGGGAGAGACCAAAACCAGGGGCCATCAATACAAAACAGTCACAAGTAGATCAAATAGGGAAGTTAGAAGAAATTTCTTCACACAGAGAGTAGTGGGAATGTGGAACATTCTACCACAAGGCGTTGTTGAGGCAAATAGCACAGATGTATTCAAGGGGAAGCTGAATAGGTACATGAGGAAGAAAGAAATAGAAGGTTATGCTTGAAGGCTTAGTTGAGGAAGGGAGGAGGAAGGTCATGTGGAGCATAAACACCAGTTGGGCCGAATGGCCTGTTTCTGTGCTGTATATTCTAATGTATTGGTTGCTGTGACCATTTAACACAGTCAAGTTTGTGTTGTGGTTCTGCTCTCAGACTATGTGACAATACAATGACAATTTTGGTAAAAACCTGGAAAATCTGTGTTGAAGAGTACATTTTTAAATGTATTTATTGAAGTGAATTATATTTTCCAAGTCTGACCCTTTCTGTTTTTTCCTTGCTTTAAAAAGAAATTAAGTAATATTGATGAAAGATGTGTGTTTGTTACAGGGCTTTCACTACAGGGACTCCACCTGCTCCGAGGTATCATCACTCAGCTGTTGTGTATGGAAGCAGCATGTTTGTGTTCGGTGAGTGAAGCTAGTGTGTGGGATATAGTGGTGAAAGAGATATTTCTGATTTCTCACAGGAAACTTGTTTTCTATTTTATAATAATAATAATCCTTGCATTTGAGACAGTTCCTTATCAGGTCTTTGAGACGTCTCAAAGCGATTAGAATTTTGAAGTTTTGCTTTCAAAATTAATCTGGTCGCACGCATTAAAAAGGAGAAAATAAACATGATACTGATCCGATTAACAAAGAACAACAAATGATCTTCTGGTACTGTTGGTAGTGACTCAGTCTACGATGTGGTTTCCAGTTGACCCACATCTGCTCTTGTACTTCAGCTGGATTTGCCTTTCGTACATAGGTGGCTACACTGGAGACATTTACTCCAACTCCAACCTGAAGAATAAGAACGATCTTTTCGAGTACAAGTTTGCCACAGGACAGTGGACAGAGTGGAAGGTAGAGGGAAGGTGAGGTTTTTCCATTACCAGCGAAAATGAACATAAGTTAAGAATTTTCTGCAGTTCTTCAAAGGAATAGGCTTCCACAGTGAGATTGATGAGTTTTGAGATGATATTCTGTGTGAACATATTGAAGGGTGTTATATAAATGCAAACAATATTTGTATACAATATTTAAATGTTGAATTAGAAGTTTTCTATAATTCAGTGTAATCTTACATTTTTAGATAAAATGGCCTTTAGCCAAAGATTAGGTGATAATTAAACTTCAGTTTATTCCCATGGTTTGTTATGCTTTATAAGAACCCTGTGCCCACCTTGATTTGAATTAGAATCTGTAATTCATTCTTAAATGTCTGAACAGTGAGGCTTTTGCTGTTTGTTTTAAACCATGCAGTAATTATGAAAAACAATGGGTGTTTTCTTATAGATTGCCAGTAGCAAGATCAGCTCATGGAGCCACGGTATATAGTGACAAACTCTGGATCTTTGCAGGCTATGATGGTAATGCAAGGTAAATTGGACAATCAATGAGTGTTTAGTATTTGTTCCCTGACAAGAGATAATAACCACAACCAGATTACATTTGTATAGCGCCTTTCACGTCGGGAGGACGTCCCAAGGCACTGGACAGAGTACAGCATTTCAGACTCGAACTGGGGTTGGGGGGGTAAGGGAGGGGAGGGGAAGTGGGGTGGCCGATGGCATGGTCGAAGAGGAGGGTTTTGAGGCGGGACTTGAAGGAAGATAAGGAGGAGGCGAGGCAGAGTGACTGGGGGATGGAATTCCAGAGATTGGGGGCAGAGTGGCTGAAGGCTCTCCCGCCAATGGTGGGGTGGGTGGGTCGGGGGACGTGGAGCAGGTCAGAGCCGGCTGAGCGGAGGAAATGGGCGGGTTGGTTGGGGGTTAGGAGGTCGCAGAGGTAAGGTGGGGCGAAGCCATGGAGGGCTTTGTATGTGAGGACCAGAATCCTGAACTGGATCCTCTGAAGGATAGGGAGCCAATGGAGTCGGGCGAGACTGGGGGAGATGGGGTCACGGAGTTTGGTGCGGGAGAGGACACGGGCTGCAGAGTTCTGGATTATCTGCAGCCTGTGGAGGGAGGAGTTGGGAAGGCCGACAAGCAGGGGTTTGCATAGTCGAGCCTGGAGGTGATGAAGGCATGAACAAGAGTTCATTTAATAATCCTTGCATTTGATATAGTGCTTTTCACGTCTTCAAGGGGTCTCAAAGCGCTTCACAGAATATACTGTAAAGTGTAGTGACTGTATATTTTATGATAAGTGAAAGGGAGAAATTGACTAGGATACGTAGCATAGTTAGAACATTTGAATGCATAAATTAACGAGGCTGAAGCCGGACACAAATTCCAGGCTCAGATGGTATCTTTTGAGAAAGAGTTTTTACCTCAAGTGTTTTTTGGCCTGAATCACTGAGGTAGTCGATGGAGGAGGGGGAATCATCTGAGTGAACTTTCAGCAATAATGAAACCCAACCTTCTCTTCCCTCAGGCTGAACGACATATGGACAATTGGCCTCCAGGATAGAGAGATGGCGTGCTGGGACGAAGTAAGAACATTTTTTTCTTTTTGATCAGCTGGGTGTTTGACGCATGCGGAAACCCATCACCATGTTTAAGAGTATACAAACCAAACTGAGATTTCCATGTATCCCATCTACACATGGAAATCCCAGAGATAGATTGTTGGAATGGAATGTGCTCTCTCTCCCTGGAGGGACGCATTCCTGCTTACCTAATTCTGGAAAATATTAGGCACAGGTTGGCAAGAACCAAGGCTTGGGGACCCTGAGTGTGGAGTCTAAGCAGTTAAAACCGTATAGCTTGCCATTGATAGCACTGTCTGACAAGCTTTCCCGCTGAGACAGAACTACCTGTTCAGGCTTTGGCTTGCAGGGTTAACAGGAGCTGAGTGAGAGTATTCCCTGTCCTCATAAGAATATACAAATGTGCTGATTCGGAGATGACAGGAAGAGACCAAATGCTATTGTATTGCACATTTTACTTCCTTATCTGATCAGCTTTGAACTCTTCAAATACATTTGACCAAATTATAAATTTCAGTTTAGTTCAGGGCGTACAACCAGGTGTTTTAACACTGATTAGATGGTCTCTATAGACAGATGGTATTCAAATATAGGTTTTACACGAAGGAAAAGTACATTGTGATGATAAAGAGGCAGAGTTTACCTTCTGTCAAGTCCCAAGCTTTGCTGCCTATTGTTTGATTTTCCTGTCTTACATTGAAGAATCCCTTATGGCACCTTGGGACGTTCGCCAGATGTGAAAGGCGCTATACAAATGTGATGTTGTTGTTGTAGTTTGTTTTTAATGCAGATTGATGAAGTGATCCCTCTGATAAGAAAGGTTTTGCTATAATTTTAGAGAAATGACTTGCAGTCAACACCTTAGTTTTTTGTTGGAAGCATCTATCTTAGCAAAGTGGGCAATTGAATTAACAGCACTGTTTTATTATTTGGGTATAAAGTGGTTGATGAAAGGGTTAATTGGACTGTCAGCTCATGTTAAATCTGCTGTCTCTGTTTTTCAGATTGAGCAAAGTGGAGAGATCCCTCCTTCATGTTGCAACTTTCCTGTGGCTGTCTGTAAGGATAAGATGTTTGTTTTCTCAGGACAGAGTGGAGCAAAGATCACCAATAATCTCTTTCAGTTTGAATTCAAGGAAAAAGTGTGCGTGCAAACCTCAATTATTCTTCCTAATAATGGTTTTTGTCCTTAATGAATTGGTGAAATGGTCAGCACACTGCCTGAGTTCCTGAGAGGAAAGGAACTCTGGGCAGGAAAGATGTTCTTTAGGGGTTTAAAGAAGGAACTTTTTTGTTTTCTCTTCAAACCTTTCATCAAAGATTTATAGGCCTTACTCAGCAGTACAGTTGCTACAATATTTGCCGCTTGACAGCTGCAAAAACAGTTTAGTATAAAGAGATATGTCAATTTTTAAAAAAAATATTTTCTTTCAAAACTTAACATGAATGTTTAATGATTTCTAAATAAACAGCCCCCTCTTGAACATAGGCATTTTGCCTTTACTCTGTTTTATCCTTAATTACACACAGTCTAATCTTGTGCATTGTAATCAGTCTAAACCGTTGGTGGCATTTTGCCACTGCAGAAGGGAGCGAGAGACAATGACCAATGCTCCAATATGTTAATATAACCCTATTGATCTCTTATTTACTGTGAAATGTGTCCGTTCTAAGAGATGGTCTTGCATCACTGGTGACTGAGATTGGGACCAGTATAACTGAAGGTGACGTGATTTTGCCAGAAAATAATACACTGTATACACACTGGTCTGGAACATATGAGACGGTATTTAGTGAGAAGTCTGCACATTAAAATATACTTAGGGAAGAGAAAGAGTAGAGATTAGAGATCAGTAGGGTTATATTAACAGAGTGACACTTTTGCAGATGTGAAGGTGGAATAATTTGGATTTTTGTTTGTGTTCTTGTGCAGCTGGGCAAGAATTCCTACTGAACACTTACTGCGAGGCTCCCCTCCCCCGCCTCAAAGGAGGTACGGCCACACGATGGTGGCGTTTGACCGGCATCTCTACGTGTTCGGTGGGGCTGCAGATAACACGCTGCCCAACGAGCTGCACTGCTACGATGTGGAGTCACAGACGTGGGAGGTCATCCAGCCCAGCCCAGACAGTGAGGTGAGCTGTCCTTTGTCTTGCTGGAGTCCTGTAACTCAGTGGTTAGAGCACTCGCCTTGCAAGCGAGACACTTGGGTTCAATTCTTGGGCAAGTTTCCTTACTCCACACGCCTAATAATAATCCCTACAAAAAATAATAAATTGGTCATTTTCAATCCACGACTGTTTGTGGGACCCTGCTGTGCACAATTGACTGCTGTGTTTCGCCCACAAATGCACGATCAATTCACTTCACAGTATATTCTGTGAAGCACTTTGAGACGTCTAGCGGACGTGGAAAGCGCTATATCAAATGCAAGGATTATTATTATATTATTCTCCTACAAGATAACTTAGAATAGTCACTACACTTGGCTCTACTATGAAATGTGATTGGATAATAATAATAATAAATATTGCATTTGATATAGCGCCTTATCACGTCGTTGAGACATCTCGAAGCACTTCACAGAATATACTGTAAAGTGTAGCGCTTGTGTATTTTTGGGGCAAAACGCGGCAGCCAATTTCGCACAGCTGTGTGCCACAGACAGTCATGGATTGAAGGGATTACTCCCCCCTGGAAAGCGATCTGACAATCGACTAACAGGAGGGTTACCGCTACTTACTGCTAGTTAACAGATGCTGCACAAATGCATGTTCTTTTTGTATGCTTTGGAAGAAGTTTAATGGGATTTTGTAGCTTTACACAATACAGTAAAACCCTGGCTGGCTAGAATAATGGGGTCAGGTTCATGTACTGAGGAATTCAATACAGATGTCTTGCTGTATTCTTCAGTACTGTTAGATATACACAAAACTAGTTTATGAAACCAACTATTTTAAATTTGAAATCAGCTAAGGAGAAAAGACAAAACAATTAATGAATGGGCCCAATTCCTAGTATATAAATGCTCCAAGATTTAGATGATTACTGTGTGAAAAGTTTTGCTGTTCTCGTATGCTAGAAATTCCCTGTAGGTTATAAGGAAGCTTTATTCATTCTTCAGATGTAAGTATTGTCATTTTTTCACCCTTTATTTCCTCTGAACTGCCATTATCTATGTACAGAGCTTTGTTGTGTGTTGTCATTCTCGTTAATGATGCACCTACTTTTGTAAGTGGGGAGACAGAAGTCTCGAAGATTTGTTTGTGTTGGCATCGGCTCTGAGGGTTAGAGAAATGAGTCACAACATAGAATGTTTCTTCAGAGGCTTTGGATTTCAGATAAGGATTTCTCTCACTTAGTCACTGCACTGTAGTGAGGCTGATTCGGTATCATTCTGCTAGACTATTTTTGAATGTGTTTGAATATCTAGTAAGAGAAATAAAATGACAGTACATCAAGATTTTACTCTTGTTCTTGGGAACCTAAAGAGCAAACTGATTGTGACCCCTGCCCATTGCTCGTATCTAGGTTTAAATGTTCAGCTCCAATTTAAACCATTTTAATTTAATACTTCTATTTCAGTGAACAAAAATTCACATCAAATATTTCTGCCCATGTCTGTTGTTATGAAAGCTTCATGTTAGCTGAAAAATGGAGTAGTGAGTATTCCAGCTTTGGCTACAACAACATATTACACTTGCACAGTAGCGCCTTTCACGTCGGGAGGATGTTCCCAAGGCCCTGGACAGTCAAGCATTTGGAGGGGTGAGGGGCAGGGAGGGTTGGGGTAGGAAGGTAACTGAAGGTATGGTGAGGAGGAGGTACTTGAGACAGGCCTTGAAGGAGGCAAGGGAGTGGGGGGGGGGGGGGGGGGGGGCGAGGCGAAGGGACCGTGGGACGGAGTTTGAAAGGGTGGGGCCAGAAAGGCTACTACTATAATTACATAAGCTATTTTTATTACAAATAAAACCTTCTGGTTTAATTTGTAGAATTGAAAGGTTCGAATTGATGCTCTTTGTTTGGTTCTCAGTTCTGAGCTCCTTTAGTGTTTTTAACATCTCTTACCTGTTGCTGTTCTTTTATGTTTCATGGCATGTTTTCATGCTCATTTTGTTTGTTTGCCACTATATATTCTACAACTTTGATTCTTGTTCACAGTCAATGAGGCTGAAAATTTACCTAATAGTGCTAATAGTTCTGTCAGTCTCTGAGTCTGTGCTGGCAGAAGGAGAAGTATATCTGACTACAGGAAGGTTCCAATCCAGATACTGGTGTTTCTTGACCACAGGACCATTTGTAGATTTATACAAGCTGGTTTTAAACGGAAACAAATGAAGGAAGGCAGCAAGAGTCAGACCCACACAATGATTATTGTTCTCGCACACAGTTCAAGGTCAATCTCCTGTATGTGCAACTGCCAAAGATAACTGTCCTTACAATCGGTTCATAAATTTTCATGTTTTAATTGTTCAGATTTATTGAAATACCATTAGACTGTCATCCTCGGAAATAACTGCTGAACTAATATTGTTCATTTGATTACTTTGTTATGTTTAAGGCATCAGAGCTTGATTTTCGCAAGCAATTTTGATTTATGATGGATTTGTCAACCATTTTATAATGGGATGGATGGGGGAGTGATAGGCCCCTCTGTAGGTTGCTAAAAATCACAAATGACATTTTAGTCAGTGATCATTGTCATCATTTGCACCACCCTAACTAAACAAATCAAATGATCTGCTTGTATCCAAAACTTGGGCACTGTCACACTGATTTGAACTTGCGGATGTGGAACATATTCAACTGCTCATTGTGGACTTGGCTTACATTGTTATCATAATGTAGCTCAGTCCGATCAGGACTAGATGTGGTTCTGGAAGATTCTTGGTTTGAATCTTGGTGACAATACTGGATCCTTCACCTTTTTGAGGTTGCTGCAATCTGTAGCACGTCCTGTAAGTGTCCTCAGGATGAGGGTAAGTGAGATCTCCCTGAAGTTGAACTGTCCGGGAGATGTATTGCTTCTCAACTCCACTGTAATCGGATGCATTGTTGATGATTGACCAGCCTGTCTGGCTCATCTATGTTACACGTCCTCAATCTGGCAAGCAAAAGATGCACTGGACAGGGCTAAGCTGTACCATGAATACCTTTTAATTATAATAATCCTTGCATTTAATATAGCGCTTTTATCACATCTTCAAGATGTCTCAAAGCACTTCACAGAATATACTGTAAAGTGAATTGACTATATTTTGTGGGCGAAACGCAGCAGCCAATTGCACACAGCAGATGGTATTTATTTCCTGTTTTCATTCTGGATATTTAATTTTTCCTCCTAATTTATTTGCAATTTCTGTATAGTTTCTATGTTTAATTTCTATCTTGTATCTGACCAGAGCTGACAATTTGAGTTTGCAATGCCCTCTGCAGCTTTTCACATTTCATGTGTGAGTTTGCTGGAAAATATCTGCGTAAAGGACATTAGCAGTCTCTGCTGGCAGAAAAGCAGTACTGTTTGTATTTCTTTGTCAAATAGAGTATGTTTCATTATTGAACAGATTTCATTTTACGTAGCAACTTTTGGATATCTACGTGTCTTTAACTGAAGTAACATTTTTCACTGTGGTTAGATGCTAAATCTAACAACAACAAATTGCATTTGTATAGCGCCTTTCACATCAGGAGGATGTCCCAAAGCGGAAGACAGTCAGGGATCCACACCCGAGTTGGTGGTTGGGATCAGAAGGGGTGGAGGATGGAGAGGGTAGGGGTAGGAGGGTAACCAAAGGCACGGTCAAAGAAGAGGGTCTTGAGACAGGTCTAACATTTAAACCCGGAGAGCAGACACATTTTTCAACCTTTAGCATTGTGGCTTTTTAGGAGGAGCACAAGAGGCTGGACTGATGCACTTTCTCTCAATTTTTCAATCCTTGTAGGCAGATGGCAAGTCTCACAAAAACAGGCGGTTGAGATTAGTAATTTGTTGTGTGAGCAATCATGAACATGAGTGCAAACCAGACATCCCGGTTGTTAGTCAATTGGCAGATTGCTTTTCCGGGGGTAATAATCACTTCAAAAAAAAAATTATTTGGTCACTCAATCCACGGCTGTTTGTTGACACTGCAATGTGCAATCAATTGGCTGCCGCGTTTCGCCCACAAAATATACAGTCACCCTGCTTTACAGTATATTCTGTAAAGTGCTTTGAGACGTGATAAGGTGCTATATCAAATGCAAGGATTATTATTGTTATTTTGATCCCTTTGCTCAAATCCACTTTTACTTTCCATTTGTGTGCTGGTTACAGTCTGAGGATTGAAGAATAGAGAAAAGTAAAACCTCACACAGTTCTCACTGATGAATAAATGCACTTTTGCTACTGAAAAGTTGCGAGGTGGAAAGCTTTTTCATTCCTTAGCAATGAGAACTATTTCGCCTCTCCCCCACCCCATAAGTATACAGTATTAACGTCTAGTATCCACTATAAATAGTAAAACATGGAACATACGGAATGCTAGACAAAAATAGACCATGGTCCATCAGAAATTATCAGAAATTAATTTAGTGTTGATGTACTTTGCTTTGTTCCTAGTTGCCCAGTGGACGACTTTTCCACGCAGCAGCTGTTATTCATGATGCGATGTATATCTTTGGTGGAACTGTGGACAACAACGTGAGGAGTGGAGAAATGTATCGGTTTCAGGTAAGAATTGGGCATCTTGTCCAGATGCAAACATGTAACGTTCCACCACTAATACACATAAGCCACAATTTTATACAATGAAGAATGTTAGATGCTAACAGTAAGCAATACATAATAGAAAGCAAGCACTTGCACAAATTGCCTTATAACTGGGTTGGACTGTATGTTAAGATAATTCTTTGCTATTTAAACTATGTCCCGCTTTCTTTAATTCAATATGAAAAAATATTCTGTATTTTACGAGCATCCTGCCACTGTGAACGGTTCTGAGGTGTCTCATCGTGGGGCTTAAACCTACAACTCAGAACCAGGAGTGCTACCAACTGAGCCAGTATTGGACACAATTTACTGTACACCATTTAACATTTCACATATTTTATGGTCCTCTTTTGACCTTACTTGAATGTATTGTTTAAGCTTTTCAAGACTGGCTTTTCTACTTCGACTTCTGTGAACCAGAGTATTATTGTTGTTGCTCCGCTGTTCACTCTCCATGTCTAGTATTTGTTTTTTGCAGTCAGGTACGAGAACTGAATATATCATGAAATGACTAGAACTTCAGGATAGCCACTTCACTTGGTTGATCTGATTTCTTTACCTGAGGAGCTGCCAATTAAAATTAGGAAGGGCATGAAACATTAATAGTTAAAGTTCAAATTTCATTGTGTGCATCATCCCAATGTGTTGAATAAGTTAGCGCATGTTAAAATGTCTTTGTCTTTCCATTCCAGTTTTCTTGTTATCCGAAATGCACTTTACATGAAGATTATGGAAGATTGTGGGAGAACAGACAGTTCTGTGATGTGGAATTCATCCTAGGAGAGGTGAACCATTAATGGCGACCATTATTACTAAATAAATACATTAACAACCTGCATTTATATAGCTCCCCTTACGCATGATAGCGTCCCAGATCAGAGCAAGATGAAAGAACAGGTGGCTCAATGCAGCTCATTGAATCCTGACACACTGCAACCTGAATGGATGCTCTAAAAAGGTGGCAGGTTGCCTATATGGGCTGTGCTGTTAGTACAGGATTCTGAGCTGAGTGATCCTTGTAGTGGAGGAGTGAATGTTCATCAGGTTATTACCTTGCAGAATGCTCCGCTATCTTGTCATTGCTGTATTGGGACGAACTCCTGACTTGAAAGGCGCTATACAAATGTAATTTGTTGTTGTAAACATGGAGTTGGTCAATGAGCCAGGTTGTGCAGTCCATCTGTAGTTTTGTGGTCAGTATGGATCTGCAATTTACATTTATGTAGTGCCTTTCATGTCACAAGGACTTCCCAAAGCACAGGAGCACTCTGGTTAAAGGTAACCTCCAATAATAAAGAAATAAAAGCATTAGCAGTTAATGCTATTGGAGAAAATTTAACAATTGTTGCAAAATTATAATTGAATGTAATTTTGCTACTCAGCAATGAATGTGAATTGAATTGTAAGCCTGTTGTTTGGCTGTAAATATTGCTACCATTTCCTGGGTCCTAATCAACTTTGTGTGTGCCCTGTTACTAGAAAGAAGAGCGAGTTAAAGGTCACATAGCGATTGTCACAGCTCGAAGCAAGTGGTTAAGAAAAAAGATTACTCAAGCCAGAGATCGAATGAAACAGGTGCGCAGCATATGCACGAGTATAAAACTATTTTGGTCAATCAGGTATCTGACATGTGGAAATCTACCGCAGTGGCTAGGAGTATCCAAACCAGACTGATCGTTCCACGTATGAATGCCACCTACCTGTGGACATTTTCCTGTGTCTGGAATGGAATTCTCCCTCTCTCCACTTACCTAAACTTTCCTAAACCTGGAGAGTATTAGTCGCAGGTTGGCAAGAGACCAGGCTTGCAGACCTCAGAGTATGTGATGGCGTACTGCTGGAGATTAACCAGCAAACAACAACAACAAAATACAACAACAAAATTACATTTGTATAGCGCCTTTTACATCGGGAGGATGTTCCAAACATCACGCATCTTGCCGTAGGAGCATTGTCTGGCAAGCATCCCACTGCTTGTCCCGTTAGAGTCACTCTTATCTATTAGGGTTTGGCTTGCAGAGTTAACAGGAGCTAAGTGGGAAGAATCCCTACTACCACTGACTGGTGGGCCTCTTCCAAGTCTTGTCGATGAACCAAATGGCTGCCATTATCAGCAGTGCCCTGGATTACTGTGGACCATCCTGGCTCAGGAACTGGACTACCAAATCCATGACAGAAGATTGACTCAACTCCAGCATTCCGTTTCCAAGCACGTCACCGTGGAGCTAACTCGGCTCCAGGGTGACATCGCTTACTCTCTTACTCCCCCATCCCCCCCCCACCTCCCCGAGGATAGTAAAACAATGGATACTCTTGACTGCTTTGTGTCTAAAAGCACCTGAAAAAACGTGATCAAAAATAAACATGAATCTCAAAGGAGAGCCGTCTTCATTAGAGAGCAATGACTGGGCCTTAGATATAATTACCTCATTGTGTGTTTGTCAGAAAGTTAAGCAGGAGGCAGGAGCTGAGGAAGAAACCCCGGGCTCCAACCCCAAACCAACCCGCTCCTTGCTGCAGTTGGAGGTGGTGATCCGTGAGGCAGAAGCCCAACCGTTTGAGATCCTGATGCAGTTCCTCTACACAGACAAAATAAAATACCCACGGAAAGGTTAGCTCATCTTCCCACTCCTCAAGATCCTGCGCTTAATGTTGCTCTTTTAAAATAGACTCAATGAACTCTTCTCCCCACCCCCACCCCCCCGTGCACCCTCCCCTTCTGCCCAATTACTGGTTGAAAGTATTTATATTAATATATAATAATCCTTGCATTTGAAATAGTGCCTTATCACGTCTTTAAGACGTCTCAAAGCACTTCACAGAATATACTGTAAAGTGAATTGACTATGTTTTGTGGGCGAAACATGTCAGCCAATTGAAGGCTGAAATATTCATGCTTTATTATACCTCATGTTGTGCAGGACATGTGCAGGATGTTTTGCTGATAATGGATGTCTACAAGCTTGCCCTGAGCTTTCACCTGACCCGACTGGAACAGCTTTGTTTGCAGTATATCGAAGCATCTGTCGACCTTCAGAATGTACTTACTGTGTGTGAGAACGCAAATAAATTGCAACTGGACCAACTGAAGGTATGTGCGCTGGTGCTGATCGTAAAGTCTTCAAACAATTTTAAGTAGATGTGGTTGTATCCCATTTGCAGCTTTGACCTAGACAACAAACTCCCAGATCCTTTCAGTATTTTCAGTTACACTGACCGAACAGTCTACAGTACTTCTAGCAGCTAGGGGATTTAGTCCTTACACTATTGATCACTGGACACCCTCTTATCAATACAGGACATTGTATCCTTAGCCCACTTCATCCTATTTAAAATGAGACACTAAATGGCCATAGAGCCATAACCTTTGCGTCATTTACAGTTTACAGCTTCTTCTGCTCGTCATTGGAATAATGCTTCAATTTTTCCATTAAAGATTGTATGACATTTTTAGTGTTCCAGCAGTTATCATCATTATAGTGCTCAATTTCAGGATTAATGCGTAAAATAAATAATTCTTGCATTTGATATAGCGCCTTATCATGATAACATCTTCGAGACGTATCAAAGTGCTTCACAGAATATACTGTAAAGTGAATTGAATGTAGATTTTGTGGGTGAAACATGGCAGCCAATTGCGTATGTTGCATATTCTCAAAGTATTCTAGTAACATGCTGATCCTTTTTGGAGTCTATTTTGTCACAGTCAATGTGAATGCCTCCGATACTGAATTAGGATATGCAGTCCTTGTAAATGCCACAATTCTCACATTACAAATTACATTCTGTCCTTTTGCTGCTTGAGGCCAAGATAAATTAGTCCATGATAATTCAACAACCTCATATAACCGATGTCAAAATCTAGAAAAGGAATGTATTCTATTGAGTTGCAATACATTAATGAATGTTGTTTTGAATGAAGATAGCCCTGGCAACTTGAAATCCAGGCAAGCAGGCTCAGGGTATGCTGAATTGTTCAGTGAATATAGGAGATCACTAGAGATGTTCAGGTGAAGATTGCTCTTCAGGCCATTTGATCTCACCTTTTCAGAATTCAAACCCTATAGTCTTTCTAATAGAGCATCAACCTGGTTCTTGGCCTCCATCATGTAACCTATGTTCTGGGTGTCCGAAACTACAGGGCTACCAAAAAAGTTGTGATGTCTACCCTATTATCTAAAAAAAATCATAATTTCTTTTAAGACGTATTAGATATCATAATGGTATCCCATCTTTTTGGTCACCATGAATATGCAGTATTCCAGGTGCAGCCTGACTAAATCAAGGTTATCTTTTAGGATTATGGTCTCAACTGATTTATAATGTAACCCAGCATCAAACTCGCTTTATTCACTGCTGCCTTACGCTGGTTGACATGTCAAGTTAACATCCTTGGTCATTCTTCAACTTCCCAAGTTACGTTCCAATGAATCCATAAATGTATATGCCTTCAATGTTTTACATCCAGCATTCGGTAGCTTGCAGCGATGACATTAAACTTCATTTACCAGCGACACAAAGTTGATTTTGCATTTTTTTGTTTCAGGAATACTGCCTGAATTTTGTGGTGAAAGAATCGCACTTTAACCAGGTGATAATGACCAAAGAATTTGAGCTCCTCTCTACCTGCCTGATTGTGGAGATTGTAAGGAGAAAACATCAGCCTCCGAATCGCATCAATTCTGATCAGCCTGTTGACATAGGTATTCTGGGCGTAATTTTTTTTTTCTTGCACAATTCTTTCTGAAGTTTACAGAGGACAATTTTTTTTTTACTTCTTGATTTTTCTTTTTAATTGTTACTCTTTATCCATTCAAATCCTCATTTCCTTTTGTTGACCTCAGGTGACTGCAATGTAACCTGCGTGTTAATTCTCTCAAAAGGCAAAATACTGGAGATGCCGGAAATCTGAAATATAAACAGAAGTCGCTGGGAATACTCAGCCGGTCAGGCAGTATCTATGGAGAGTGGAAGTCAGTTAACCTTTCAGGTCAATGACCTTTTGTCAGAGCCCTGACCAAAGGTCCTCAACCTGAAACCTTAACTGACTTTCCTCCCTCCATAGATGCAGCCTGACGTGCTGAGTGTTCCCAACGACTTCTGTTTGTATTTGTTATTTTTCTCAATCGTTTCCTCACCGCCTATTTTCTTCTGATTATCCCCTGATCAGGGTCAGAAACTAACCATTGGTGAGGACTTTTGTAATCACAGCTGTTTCATGGCACCATCCAAAACCTAACTCAGTCATACTTTAGCAGTTCCTTGACATGTCTTCTTTGGTTTGGTTACTTTGCCAAGAATTACATCTTAGTCAAGAAAATGAATCAGCATCACAACTTTGCCTAAGTTCTGAAAGCATTTTATACCACTGAGATGTCAGTTATCTTCGGAATACGAGAAATCATTCAATTCTACACCAACCACAAGATTAACTCGAGATTATTGTTCAGAAATACCGTTATGAAAACGTAATGCATTCCTGGAGATTCAAAAAAAACAGGTGTCAAGGTATTTTTGCTAACAGCTAATCGTAATTCGTGAGTCCAAAAGGATGAAATTATTTGGTTTGCAATTGAGGGATAAATCTATGAACCAATGCAAATCAGTGGCTCACGAGACTTGATCTTGAATCTACGGATTTTGTTTTTCATGCACTACATTGGCAGCATTAGGATTGCGTGGAGGAAAAAACATCCTATTGTGTAAGAAAAGCAAGTCGTTGCTCCTTTGACCCACAGTTATCAGTCACTTTGTATCATTGTAGAGAGACAGTATTGTTGACCAAATGATTCTTGAATATATAGGAATAATTCCAAAGTTATTCAGTTGTTACTGTGCCAGTTACCAGTGTTATGTAACAAGGAGACTGTGGAGCTTGTTGATAAAATCCAGTCAAAATCATTCATTTTATCATCAGGCACCTCTCTTGTCCAGGACATGAGGAGCTATCTGGAAGGAGCGGGCTTGGAGTTCTGTGATATAACCTTATTATTGGATGGTCACCCAAGGCCAGCCCACCAATCTATCCTAGCTGCTCGCTCCAGGTCAGTGACAAATAAAATACAGACTCTTTCACCTCCCTCTTTGAGTTTCTCTTGGCTCTTAAATATAACCCAAATTACACTACAAATGGAAGGATTGGCGCCAACCTGGGTTCAAATCCACTGGGTTCAAAGGTGCTGCAGCAAATGTAAGGGTATTGATGATGATGATGATGATAATAATAATAATATAATCCTTGCATTTGATATAGCATCTTATAACGTCTTCGAGACATCTCAAATTTTATTAAGTTTTATCAATATTTCTCATGTCAGGACAAAGCTGTTTACCCCACAATAACATTGTGACTTAACCCCAATCTAAGAAGAATGCTACTTTTTTTGTTTTACACTGGGAAAATGCCACATAATTCCAGATTCTGCTGTGGGAGGTTATTATAAGGACTCTTCTATGTTAAATTTATCAAAAATAAGATGATTAAAATGCATGTTTTAATTGAAATCAAATATTTTGTTTTCAAGAGTTCTGATGGTACAATTGCGAAATCTGAACGTCAGACTTTAACTTGATCAAGTCAGTTTTAATTAATTGTGTTATACAGAGACGGAGAATCAGAGACATTAACTTGATATAATATATTGATGGTTACTGTATAACCGTTATTGACCTTTGCGTTCTGCGTTGCATGTTTCCCAGTTACTTTGAAGCCATGTTCCGCTCCTTCATGCCTGAAGATGGACAGGTCAACATCTCCATTGGTGAAATGGTCCCCAGTCGACGGGCGTTTGAGTCACTCCTTCGCTACGTTTACTACGGTGAAGTCAACATGCCACCAGAGGATTCACTGTATCCTTCTGAGTACACACCTTAGTGTCACACGTCTTTAGTTTTGCCCTCAACACCTGGATTATGGTTGTCACGTCTCTTCCGCCCCATCTCAACACACGAGTTCCCCTTCTTGGCATTATTGTGAGAAGTCACGCCTGGAGGTCTTTTCCCAGGAGCCCACCTGGGTCATATTTGCCCACTTTCTAGTGGTATGGGATACTGTGTGAGGAGCACTGTATAAATGCACGTTGTTGTTATATGGAGAGAGCTATGGGAGAGGCGTAGCTGAATCAAACTGGGTAGAAATGCTTCAAATATAGGACAGGAGAGGAAGTGTTTTAAAACAAAATATGTTTTCAAACTCTGGAAAAGAGCAAATAGGAATCTTGACGAAGTGAAGCAAGCTGAATAAGGACACGTTAACCTACTGTTTAGGTGAAGCTCTCTGGGACGCCACTCCAGGTGAAGGGCGCTTTGTAAATGCAAGTTGTTTAAGAAAGTGATGGGATTTCACAGTGCGTTTAGTGAAATTGTGAATCGTATGCACGATTAGGCCCATTGTGCCCGGCACAGGCACAAGAACGATGGGTCAGATGGCCTCTTCCTGTGCTGTAATATTTTATGATTCTGTGTTAAAACTGTTGAGGGATCAATCCCAGGACTTCTGAAGGAAACTCCCCTTGACTACTCGCTGACAGATACTTATTCTCGGCACCTTATTATTACGGTTTCACAAACAACAGACTACAAGCGTACTGTAAGCAGAACCTGGAGATGAATGTGACGGTGGAGAATGTTTTACAGGTGGATTGTCTTTTCTACTTTTACACACAGGATAGCACACGGTGAATTATAGATTGTGCCCTGTTCAGAATGTGTTCCACGTCCAGTGATATCTTGGCTCATTACAAGTTCCTGCTTCAGCAGTTTTCTATATCTGCCATTGTTGCTTCCCAGCCAGTGTAGCAAATCGCCCATTTTAAAATTGGTTTTAACGTTTATCCACAAAACCATGCTGGCAGAAAGCACGTACACACACATGTATACTTTTAAAAGAAAAAAAACTCGTAGAATCCTTGTAATATTTAAGTTAAGGTTCAGGTCCATTATATTTTAAGTTTTCCTTCCTTGTAAAATATACAAATGGACAATTAGAAAAGTGGCAATTACTGATAAATCAAATGGCTTCCTTTCTATAATCCGACATTTTATAGAAATGTACATTTCTATAATTCCATTCAGTCAAACTTTATGAGCAATGGTGCTGAATGTTTGTTTGTGTACTTCAGATTCTGGAAGCAGCTGATAAGACCCAGGCCCTGGACATGAAGAAACACTGCCTGTATATTATTGTACATCATTTCACTAAGGTGGGTAGGATCCTGTCTGGCTTTGTGGTCATCTGTTGCCCTTTCATGCCTTCTTCACTACTGTAGTGCTGTGTCTGTCCTGTCATTCCCAACAGATCTGACAGGATTTTGAATTATTGGACAACCCAGTTGGTTGCCCCATCTTTACATACCTGGCATTGTGACACATTGCTGTTGTTCCAATTTGGTAGCATCAAAGCAGAGCAGAGGTTCACTTGTGCTATTAACTTGAAACATTCTGTGAAGGATGCCAAGGATGACAGCAAACGTTGAGGAAATATGATCAAATGCAAAAGAGATTTGATCTGACTTGTACTACTAACTCACTCAGCAGTAATGATGCCACAATATGATTTATTATAGCCCAGTGAATATTTTAGGTAAAACCCCTGTATTACCACCAATTGCAATATCTGGATCAGTTAAGTTATTGTGATGACCTTTGCACACTATTTTACAGTATTATAGTTATCTCCGTACATCACGTGACATGATATTGTAATATCCACACACAAGTATGAGCTAAAAGGCAAATTTCACAAGCTCCGCTTTGTAAAGCTTGATATTGTATCACCAGAAGCAAATTGTGCTTTACATGACTGGCTCATCTTTGAAATGTAATTGATGCTAAAATGCATTTTAAAAATAACCCATAATTATGACTCCATATCCCCACAAAATCCTGGTTTGATGCAAACCTTAAATATTTATGGTGCCAAATATTTTTGTTTTACAGTATATAGCTTACAGAAAGATAAACATAGTCATTGATGTACAGTTATGATCTTCTACAAACGTTTTGGTTGGCCTATGGCACAGGAACACATGTGTTCCTCCTGTTATTATTGCATATTAACTAAACGTGGAATATATTATCTTTATGGTCTGCTTGTTCTGTTACACCAATGGTAAACTACACTGTAACTTTTTTATCAGGTGCATTTCAATTACAAAATAGATTAACTTGACTGCTACACTATATTAACAACTCATTTCAAAACACACACCCTTTGTGTCTCATAACGCAGTGTGTTTCAAGAGACACGGGACATGAAATAACCCTTTTATCCATTCCTTCCAATTTACTCTCCTGCCGCTCAGTTCCAGATCAAATCATTCTGCTTACTACTAACTTTTCAACCAATTAGATCAACAATTGGTAATTTTAAAATAAAGGAAGAGATATCTTGTAGTATATTGGTTAGAGATGGGAGGACCTGGGTTCGATTCCCTGTCAGGGTGAAACCCCTAGACAAGTTTCCTTACTCCACACACCTCTTACCTAGCAGTAAGTAGGAACCCGATTGTTAGTCGATTGGTGGCTCGCTTTCCGGGGGTAATAATCCTTAAAAAAAAAACAATTTAGTCACTTAATCCAAGGCTGATTGTGGGACACTGCTGTGCACAATTGGTTGCCAAGTTTCTTCCACAAAATATAAAATCAATTCACTTTATAGTATATTCTGCAAAGAGCTTTGAGACGTCTTAATGACCTGATAAAGTGCTGTATCAAATAAAAGGATTATTTTTGTATTATGAATCTAGGAAGGTTGGTAATCTAAGAGAAGACAAATGGTTGGGTGGGGGTTAGTAGAAAGAAATCAGTGTTTCAAAAGAAAGATTAAAAAAAGCTGAAGTTTGCCTGTGAGGCAAAAATTTGGTGTTTTATTTGTTAAAGTAGATCTCATCTCCAATACTTTAACCTTCTGTTGGACTGAATATAGTTGTGCACAGTTGTTCAATTTGCTTTTTTTGTTCTGGATTAAATGTGCCTTTTGAAATAAACTCTTCTGTTTTTATTCAAGATTTGCAGACGTTTGCAAGTATCATAATCTTACAGAAGTTTTATCTTAAAATAATCCACCAGTTAAACTAACACTTTATTGCAAAACCTGGAAGATACAGTTGGCAATTATCCATGTAATTCTTTTGTGTTAATGATCTGTTTCACTGGCTCTATCTAACCATTTCAACATTTGTGCTGAGGTTGACACCAAACATAATAGGTGATTGTCTCAATATGTTCCCTTTCTGTTCTGACGAGTCTTTATGAATATTGTAGATTTGTGAGCCCAAACAAAACCTACTTCAGTGGCTCTGGTAATGTCACCAGGGATCAAACTGATTGTGCTGCTTGATTACTCAGTCTCCACTTTTCTCTTCCTTCTTGTGGAAAAGGCGCTTAGTGGCTTCCTGTTACCCTGAACGACATAATATCAGGAACATTTTGTGTCAGCAAGAATCCATCATGTCTTACTTTGTGGCGCAACAGTTTAGTGTATAAAGGTTTGGGCCCAATTAACCACTTGGCTTTAACATTATACTAGAGCAGTGGGTCCTCTGGGTGATGAGTTCCTTTCAATTGAAGCTTTCCCAGTTACAATCATTCTGACGAAATCTACCTAATCTACCAAGGACACAGTGTCTTAGTTGCAAATCCTTTCATCTTGCAGATTAATTTATTTTAGTTTTCAACGTTTGTTGCATGCCGTGCTGTTATTTCCTAATTTCTGAAACACATTTTTTTTTCTTTTTGCTTCTCTCCCTAAGGTGTCCAAGTTGCCAAACCTACGCTCTCTCAGTCAGGCATTGCTTCTTGATATCATCGAGTCGTTAGCCAACCATATTTCAGACAAGCAGTGTGCCGAACTGGGCCCAGATATGTGACAATTAATGTTCGACACTGATTCTCAACTCGAAGTAGCAACTTTACTTTCCTTTAGCACAGAAGGCTAGTGTTTATTTCTAAAATAAATAGTTTTCAGTCAGGGAGTGCTAGGTCATAAGCTATATGCTATTTTGAAATCAGTGTTGTTTGATTCAGGCCCCAGTTAAATCTCTCCTTTTGTTTCTATGAGATGCATTAAGAGTCATTGATTGAATGGAGGGCATCAATTTATGATAACTACCAAAGGAGGGAAGGGAGATATTAAGAGGACTTTTTTGATCAGAGTTGTTAGGACGTGGAAGGCCCTGTTGGGGGGGATGGTCCAGGCAGGATCCATGTAGGCTTCAAGAGGGAGCTACATAGATATCTAAGAAGGAGAGTAATTTGCAGGAGTATGGAGAAAAGACCTGGAAATAGGACTAAATGGATTAGCTTTATCAGAGAGCTGGCACAGATATGATAGGCCGATTGGCCTTCTGTGTTGTGCGGTTATATGGTCCTAAACAGAAGTACCAGTATAAATACAAATATAACTCGTTTGCTGGCTCAAACATTTAAAAGTGAAGCCTATTTTAATTTTTTTTAAAGTTGTGAATGTGGCGGTCACAGACTTCACCGCACGCATAAGAACGATCTTTATAATAAGACTTTTTTTTAAGTACACAGTTGTGTTATGCTCTTTGTATTGTTCTTTTAAATATAACATTAACTGAGAAGACTAGTGTTCCGAGTGCATGTACAGCACAGGTATGTGTTGTGTAACATTGTTCGGTTGTTCAATATGTTCAGTAGTTGGTGTCTTTCACCATGGCTACTTTTTGATATCTAGAGAGTGTCAGCTGCTATATGTCAGCTTTAATTCTACACGATAAGATCATCAATTAAAGGGAGATGTCTTAGATGTTGGTTGATAATCTACATAAATGAATATTGATGTGCCATAAAATGGTTGGTTGCGTTCCCACAAGACAATGCAATTAACAGGCATTTCCACAGTTATCAAAATGCAGAAACTGAATGAACCATGGCACAGATTATGCTGACTGTTGTAACCGTATTCCATGTGGGAATTGCGTAAGACGTTTTTATGGCACACAGGTATAGTCTGATGAGTGATGTGCTTAATGAAATCTAACAAAGTAGCAGCACACAATTCCAACAGACTCTATATTCTAAATGGGGGTTAGAATTTTTCTCTTAGCCTTCCCGGGCTGCTACAGGAAGTGGTGATGGTTTGATTTGGATCTGAGCACCGATTCGAAAAATTCTCACACTTCTCCATTGCGCTGTTCACTGCTCAGCCCCTCTTCCTTCCTTTCTCCATCTTTCATGCAGGAAAGGAAATCTTATTTGAAAATTGCATCAAATATTGATTTAAATTGTTTTGACGTACCTGTATTTTTATACTGAACTTTGGGCTTATGCCACAAATCGCATTGCAAAGCAAAAGTTGAGCACCTGAAGTTCAAAAAGGGGTTGTTAAACAAAGCGATTTTTTAAAAAAGAAAGTCAGACCAAATTAAATATAACAGTAAAAAGGCAATCCTTACAATCAACCTTCATTTTCACCTTGTCACTGCCAAGTTAATATTAGGTATACATATTAAGGAGCATGAATTGTGGTTTATATCTCTCCCTTAAGAGCACTGCTTGTTGCTTGTGAATTATGATCATCATAATCATGTGTTGTATGCTAAAGTGTTAGAGAAGTCATTAAAAAGTTAAATGTAGTCATTAAATCTTAAATTGTAAAGTAGTTTGACTGCTCCAAACACTCTATATTCCAAGATACTTTAAATAGCAGTTAGAATTAGCAAAATATTTTAAGACTGTTGCCAACTCATGGTATATAGATTATTGATGTTAATTCTAAGTCTAGTTACTTGCCTGACCCAGTATGGCTAAAGAGAAAGTTTCCTTTGCATTGCAAGTATCTTGCCCCTCCAACCACTTCTATACTTGCTGTATATACTTGACCCATTTCTGCATTTGTGGGAGGAAGTACTTTTTACTAAGATAAATGAATCCTAATATCTTATATTGTTGGAGACGATTTATTGTTTCCAGTAGAAAGATTTAGGATTGAGAATCCTGATTTATACTTCCTACTTTGAAATCATATTTGCCTTGATATTTACATTGGTAATGGCCAGTTTTTTAGTAACCGTAAAAGGATCGCTTAAACATTGTTGTGTAGCACCTAAAAAGAACAATTTTTGTCTTGAGGCCAAACCAATTCAAACCACTCCACTTTGTGATCATACCTCACATCCTTAAAATCCAATTTATACGCTCTCTGTGTTGATCCATATCGTATCAATACATAGCACAGGGATCAATACATAACACATTGGGTAAACAATGCATTAGCTTTAATCCGCTGGATTGTATATATAAAGTAATTAACTGTTTAACCTGTATAATATTAATTGAAATTGTATAAAGATTAGTAATATTATTGTTTTTTATGGTTAATATTGCCTTATCCTCTTGTTGTGCCTGTTTGTAACACAATAAAGTATGCATGTGAATCTGCATTATTGTGTTAACTTTTTCTGAATACAACGCTGGTCTGAGATGCAACATAAAGGTGTACCCTGTCCAGAGCAATGAAAGCAAGTGACTGACTACATCTGAGCATTAAATAGTCTATTCTGAAAGAAAGATTGGATGGGAGATTGTGTATTAAACCCTCAACGTCACTTGTTAGAACACCAATGTCCAAACCTAAATTGACTCATTTGATGAGGTCCTTCATCTCAGAAACCTGTTAAGAAACAATCGTGTAGAAACAAGGTGTTTCCCCACAGCAGAAGTGTCCGAGGGAAAATGAAACCAAGTCATCCTGACCACTGTCGCCCAAGTTCAAATCCATCCCTGGGAAGGTCTTTTTTGGGGCAAGCTGGAAGTCTTGATACACTTGGAAACCCATCACCATGCGTAGTTGTATCCAAACTAGGCTAAGGATTCCACATATGCCACCTACATATGAAATTCTTGTGCCTGGGATGGAAATTGCTGATGACATGTCCTTGAAGGAAATGATGTCTTCTCCGTCAGATATACGGAATATGTTGACTTGATGATAAAGACCTGATATTGACATTGTGCCCCAGCTAACTGGACCTCTGACTCTGGCTCGCACCCCACCTACCTCCTTTCAAGACTTTTGTCTCTCCGCACTCCTCGGCTCCCACCACCAGCTCGAGTGTCCATCCAGCAATTTGTTAAGCACTTTGGGATGTCTTCCTCGCATGAAAGTCGCTGCATAAATGTCTTGTCTCTCCATGTTACTCACAAATCATGTAAAAACGGCATATATCAGCTTCCCAGTTCCACTTTCCTCAAACTCCAGACTATACAGAGCTGCGCAGTTTCAATCCTTGGGCACCAAACACTCTTAAGTACGTCAAGCCCATCTTCGGCCAGATTAACTGGGTCCCTATCCCCAAGCAGGCCAACTTAATTCCCCACCAACTCCAGCTCGTTTCATACCGGCCTCCCTGCCTGCTCCACCTCATCAGAGGCGGGTGAACCCTTCAGCAACTTCCATCTCCCCCTCGGCAACTTTCTCTCAAAATCCCTTCCCTACGCCTCACCCTCTTCCTTCCGTTGCTTTCAAATCCCACCTGAACTCTTCTCTCTTTCACTGTATTTTTCGCCGCCTTAACCCTCCCGCGCGCACAGCCTCCTCCCACCACGGACCCCGCTCAGTTTTGTAAAGCGCTTTGAGATGTCCTTTCGATGGGGATCTGACTCTCCAGAGCGGTGCTGGGGATGTGCTGCGCTGCCAGAGGTGCCGTCCGTTAGATGAGACGCTAAACCGAGATCCCGTCTCAGCGCAATTTGTTGTGCTTTGTTGTCCGGGTGTCGAGATAACGACGACAAGTTTGAAAAGAGAAGGGGCGTCTCTCCCGGTGCCCTGGAGATACAATATTATAATTGCAGTCGTCCCGTAGCTCAGGGGTGAGAGCACTCGCCTCGCGGGCGAGAGACTTGGGTTTGGCTCCCGGGCAGAGCAAAACATTGGGCGAGTTTCCTCACTCCACACGGATCTGTTCGCACAGCAGGGAGGGGGGACCCGGTTGTTAATCGATTGGTGGGTCGCTTTCCCGGGGGTTGTGGGGGGGGGATAATAATCCCCTTTTTTTAAAAAAAAGCGCAGTCACTCACTCCACGGCTGTTTGCGGGGACGTTGTTGGGCGCAATTGGCTGCCGCGTTTCGTCCCAGAAGACGCAGTCACTACACTTTGCAGTATTTTCTGTGACGAGACGCGATACGGAATTGGGGGCTTATTATTTGGATCATAATTATGATGTTGAGGAGGAGCCTGAGCCGAGCGGGGGCTGTGCTGGGGCGGGGCTGTGCTGGGGCGGGGGCTGTGCTGGGGCGGGGGCTGTGCTGGGGCGGGGGCTGTGCTGGGGTGGGGCTGTGCTGGGGCGGGGGCGGTGATTGGCTGCCGAGGGGCGGGGGCGGTGATTGGCTGCCGAGGGTTCGGGGCGGTGATTGGCTGCCGAGGGGCGGTGGGGATTGGCTGCCGAGGGGCGGGGGCGGTGATTGGCTGCCGAGGGGCGGGGGCGGTGATTGGCTGCCGAGGGGCGGGGGCGGTGATTGGCTGCCGAGGGGCGGGGGCGGTGATTGGCTGCCGAGGGGCGGGGGCTGTGATTGGCTGCCGAGGGGCGGGGGCGGTGATTGGCTGCCGAGGGGCGGGGGCGGTGATTGGCTGCCGAGGGTTCGGGGCGGTGGGGATTGGCGGAGCTCAGGTTTGATTTTCTTTACAGTTTGTGGTGAATCCGCGCGAGATTCAAACACAGAGAGAGAGAGAGAGAGGGAGTGAGAGAGGGGGAGAGGGAGTGAGAGAGAGAGAGAGAGGGGGAGAGGGAGTGAGAGAGAGAGAGGGGGAGAGGGAGTGAGAGAGAGAGAGGGAGTGAGAGAGGGGGAGAGGGAGTGAGAGAGAGAGAGAGGGGGAGAGGGAGTGAGAGAGAGAGAGGGGAGAGGGAGTGAGAGAGAGAGAGAAGGGGAGAGGGAGTGAGAGAGAGAGAGAAGGGGAGAGGGAGTGAGAGAGAGAGAGAGGGGGAGAGGGAGTGAGAGAGAGAGAGAAGGGGAGAGGGAGTGAGAGAGAGAGAGAGAGAGGGGGAGAGGGAGTGAGAGAGAGAGAGAAGGGGAGAGGGAGTGAGAGAGAGAAGGGGAGAGGGAGTGAGAGAGAGAGAGGGACAGAGAGGGACACAGACACAGCTGTGAGGACGGTAACACTCGGCAGTGACGGGAACAATATCAACTGCCGAGTTACAGGCAAGTCCGGAACCGACTGTCCCTCCGTCTGTCTCTCTCTCTCTGTCTCTCTCTCTGTGTCTCTCTCTCTGTCTCTCTCTCTCTCTGTCTCTCTCTCTCTGTCTCTCTCTCTGTGTCTCTCTCTCTCTCTGTCTCTCTCTCTCTGTCTCTCTCTGTCTGTCTCTGTCTCTCTCTCTGTCTCTCTCTCTCTGTCTCTCTCTGTCTCTCTCTCTGTGTCTCTGTGTGTCTCTCTCTCTCTGTCTCTCTCTGTCTCTCTCTCTCTGTCTCTCTCTCTGTCTCTCTCTCTGTGTGTCTCTCTCTGTGTCTCTCTCTCTGTCTCTCTCTGTGTGTGTCTCTCTCTCTGTGTCTCTCTCTCTGTGTCTCTTTCTCTGTCTCTCTCTCTCTGTCTCTCTCTCTGTCTCTCTCTGTGTGTGTCTCTCTCTCTCTGTGTCTCTCTCTGTATGTGTCTCTCTCCGTCTCTCTCTCTCTGTCTCTCTGTATGTGTCTCTCTCTGTCTCTCTGTATGTGTCTCTCTCTGTGTCTGTCTCTCTCTCTGTCTCTCTCTGTGTCTGTCTCTCTCTCTGTCTCTCTCTCTCTGTCTGCGGTGCGGTTTTTCTTGTTATCCTCCAAAAGTGGACGATTTTTCGAAATCCTCATTAACCTTAAAAACCTTTCCCTGAGCGCGTGTCGGTCGGTCCAGGTCCAGCCTCAAACCAAAGGTTCTCAGTGGGAAGGAGACGGGATTGATCATACAGTGTTGTCCCTGTCTCCGACATTTATCATCTGTAAATAATAATAATAATATTAACAATCCTTGCATTGATACAGCGCCGTATCACGTCTTCGAGACGTCGCAAAGCGCTTCACAGATTACACTGTAAAGCGTAGCGACTGTATATTTGTGGGCGAAACTGGGAGACATCTGTCACCTATTCTCCTCTGTGACGATAGCAAATTAGCTCCGAGGGAAGAGCTGAATACTCAGTAACAAAGAGACCCCGCTTCATTTCGCACCGTCAGTTTAGTGATTGTCGGAATCAAATCATTCGAATGTTAACAGAACAGCAGTTTAAGGCTCTTAAAGAAACGCTACTTCAGTGAGCGAGGGGGTAAACTTGTGGGACGGGCTCCCCAGGGAGGGAGACAGGCCCTGGAAGCAGAAAACGTTGTTTGTTTCAAGAACAAACTAGATAGGTTTCTGCTAGAAAATAATATCTGGGGATACAGTATATAGTCTGGGACACGACATGTCAAGCGACTGCCAGGAGAGTGGAAGGCGAACTGGATGGGCCTCGGTCTTCTTTCGCCTTGTAGCACATTCTTAAGTGCCTCTTTCTCGATCTCTGTTGTTACTGAACTATTGCCAAACTTTGCTGAGAGTGGCCCCGGACACATGTGACCAGGTGCAAAATTGGAGAATATAATCTGCCCCGTCTCTCATCATAGTTTAACCCACTTAAAGCCTGGTATTAATCTAATGAGAATGGACACCCTCCAAGGCTAGAACTGTATATCTTTCCTAAGATTGGGTACACAAAACTGAACACAGGACTCCAAGTGAGGTCTGACCAGCCTCTGTATAACTGGAGCAGTACCTCCTTATTTTTAGATTTCAAACCTCTCGTAATAAATGTAACCCTTCAGCTTATTGACTGTTTTCCCTCACCCACAAACTAGGTTTTTAATGATGATTGACTATTCAATGATCTATGGACTAGAACCACTAGCTGTCTGCTCATCCAGCTTGAATCATGCTCCCCATTTAGACCGACTCCCAAACACTATCTTTCCATCCAGAATGTACTATCTCACACTGTTCATAATTTACATGATGACCAAATGATATGTTGAATCAGTTAAAGACAGAACAGGAGTCTCTGTGTGATTGTAAAATGAATCTTATCCATTGCTCACATTAGTGGGAACGTGTATAATTCGCTCTCCATCCCAGAGTTGCAATGGAAACACTGGAGGAATTTGACAGGGAATGCCCTCTGAGCATGATGTTCTGTAAGCGTCTGACAGAGGACGAGTTTGAAGCACAAACATTGACGTACACGGAAAAGGCCCTGCAGGAACTGTTCCACACCATGGACCAGAATCCCAAACTGTGTGAGAAGGTGGTGAGGAGACGCAAACAGACCGAGCTGGAGAAGGCCGGATTGAAGTCGTTAGTCAAGGTAATTCAGTAAAGCCAACGAGACAACCAACAGCAACAACTTGCATTTATATAGCGCCCCTAGGGCGGGGTCTCAGAGCGTTGGAGTCACAGTGGCGAAATCTGACAAGAAGCCAACGGATGAGGGAGGCAACCGTAAGCATGATCGCAAAGAAAAGTTTTTAGCGGGATTTGAAGGTGGGGAGGGGGGGCAAGGCGGAGGGATTGAGGGAGAGAGTTCCAGAGTTTCAGTGAGTAGTGGCTGAAGGCACGGCCTCCGATGGTGGAATAGTGGGCACAAGGATCAATTAGGAGGCCAGAGCCAGCTGAACGGAGGCAGTCGGTGGTGGAGTGGGCAGTAAGCAGGTCGGAGAGGTAGGGAGGTGCGAGGGAATGAAGTGATTTGAATACGAGAAATGGGGGTAATTAGAACAAACACAAATTAAATGGAAAGCGACTGTAGGCGTGGTTTAAAAAGATAATGTAAATAATATTTAACAGCAACTTGCATTTATACAGTTCCCCTCACGCAGGTACCATCCCTTAATAAATAATACATAACATCATAATGTAAGGATCAATATTGCATGAAATGTCAAGTGTTAGTTATTCCCTGAAGTGGATCAAACTCCAGTAACCCTGAATGCTTTCTTCACAGGCTAAGTTTTTCTCTGCTGTGGACGGCCACATGAATCGGTGTAATGCTGTTGGAACAGACGAGTTGCAAGAGAGACTTGGACACCTGAAGGAGGAGATGAAGAAAGTACATTCCTACTGCACTGGTAAGGTTGCTCTTTGTGTCTCAATACCTGGAAAAACCAAGGACACGTATTCCACTTCCATGAAAGAGGTATAATATTTCTGTGATGTAAGATAGGGAGGAAATAATAATTCCGACTTTTGGCACAATGATCCAAATAATGGAGGGAATATAGTGCAACATAAGGTCTCCCATCCAGTCCAGGGCAGCCTTTGAAATCAAATAACAAGTGGGTAAATCCACTAAATGCGAATAGAAACTACTCCTTGAGTTTGTGATAAGTGAAATGGTCCCGTACTATTGTGAGAATGACTAACATCATGAGGAACAGTGTGCACAGCACTTGCAACCTTCAAAAAGTTATTTACTTTTCTCGTGGAGTCCTGTAGCGTTGTGGCTAGTGCGCTTGCCTTGCAAGCGAGAGGATTCTGGTTCGATTTCCAGCCGGGGCGAAACCATAGATACGTTTCCTTACTCTGGTCGCCTCTGTTTACCTAGCAGTAATTTGGAACTCAATTGTTAGTCGTTTGGCGGATCGCTTTCCGGGGGTAATAATTCCTTTTAAGATAAAAAGAACAACAACAACAAGATTACATTTATATAGCGCTTTTCACTTCGGGAGGACGTCCCAAGGCGCTGGACAAAGTACAGCGTTTCAGACCCGAGCTGGGGTTGGGGAGCCAGTGGAGTCGGGCAAGAGTGGGGGAGGTGGGGTCACGGAGTTTGGTGCGGGAGAGGACACGGGCTGCAGAGTTCTGGATTATCTGCAGCCTGTGCAGGGAGGAGTTGGGAAGGCCGACAAGCAGGGGGTTTGCATAGTCGAGCCTGGAGGTGATGAAGGCAAAAACAAGAGTTTCAGCGGCCTGAGGGGTGAGGTAGTGGCGGAGTCGGGCGATGTTACGTAGGTGAGGGAAGGCAGAGAAAAAAGTGGTCCCTCAATCCACGGCTGTTTGTGGGATGCTGCTGTGCTCATTTGGCTGCCTCATTTCGCCCACAAAATACACAGTTAATCCACTTCCCAATGTATTCTGTGAATCAGAGAACACGGCCTGCGATTGAAGGGGGTAAATTCAGAACGAATCTACGCAAACACTATTTCAGTGAGCGAATAGTCAACCTGTGGAACAGGCTCCCTAGGGAGACGGTTGAAGCAGGAAGTGTTGATTCTTTCAAACACAGATAAGATAGTTTTCTTTTAGGAAATAACATTATGGGATATAGCACATAGGTAGTTTGGGACATATGTACATGCGACTGCCAGGAAGGTGGAAGGCGAACTAGATGGACCTTGGTCTTTTTTCGTCTAGCATTTCTTATGTTCTTATGAAGTGCTTTGAGACACCTCAACGACGTGATAAGGCACTATATTAAATGCAAGAATTATTATTATTTACATTGCAGAAAATCTATCAGTTTCACTACAACAGATGGAGGATCAAACATAATTATTCGTTTGATGTGTTGAATGTCTAGTTTGGATGATGTAATCATGAATACTTAAAACATTGTGATTTCTGTGCTTTCTAGAGGCCAAAAGGACCTCAAAACGACTAGCTGAAAAGAGGCAAAGGGAACGAGAGGGGGTATCTGTGAACCCAAGTGCTTCACTTGGTCAACAGGCTGCTATGGTTCCACCACCACCACCACCACCTCCTCCTCCTCCAGTTCCTTCTACTGATAAACTTGTGTTTAAAACCCCTTTCAGAGACCAGACCAACCTCTGCAATGTAAGTAAGCAAATTCAACGGGAAGCTTTATTAATGTGGGATGGGGTGAGAACGAGTTTGATGATCTTTTGGGGAGAGGATTAATCGTCAAAGCTGTGTATTTAGTTCAGGGACGTACGTTCCCGTTACTCTGTATTTGACGTCTGAGACCTGTTCTCTGCTCTGCAGCAAGAAAACATTGAGCCAGCAACGCCAGATCTACTGGAGAGTTATGGATTGGCTAAATTTAATCGACGTTGTCAGAGGTATTGAACATTAAATTTAAGAGTTTGTATTTACACCCACAAAATATCCAGTCAATTCACTCCACAGTATATCCTGTGAAGCGCTTTGAGACATCTCGTAGACATAATAAGGCGCTATATCAAATGCAAGTATTATTATTACTTATCAAGGATCCAAACCCTTGTCTTCAAATTCCTCCACTTCTCTGCACCCCCCCTACCTCTCTGACCTCCTTTCTCCTCAAAACAGTTCCCGTTACCTTCGTTCCACCGGGTATGGTCTGGCCTCCTCCTTGTCACCCGATTCCTCCGCTCCACCCTCAGCGGCCGTGCCTTCATCCACCATACCCCGAGGCTCTGGAACTCCCTTCCTCACTCCCTTCGCCTCGCCCCCTCTCTTCCTATTTTCAGATCTCTGCTGAAGACCATTCTTTTCGACCGCACCTTTGGTCACCTTCCTCCCCCTCCCCCTGGCTCGGTCCTGGGATCCGTTAGTGTGAAGTGCTCTGAGACGCCGTCCGGCGTGGAGGACGCTATATAAATCCAAGTTGAAGTTATAAGACAACAACTAATTACATTTGTACAGCGTGTTTCACGACAGGAAGATGTTCCAAACACAGCCCTTCAGTACACCATATTGCCATGCGCTGAGTCTGAAACTGGAGTGATGAAATTGCTCGTCAGTTGAGCGGAGATTGTGGGTTGGGGGGTAAGCAGTTCGGAGACCCTAAAGTATAATATTTTATACATAATATTTATGCCACTATATTTATTAGCCACCTTTCTTGTTTGCTAGATTGGTTTGTTTAGAAATTGGGTCAGTCGGTATTTGTAATGCATTAACGTTAAAAAAAAGCCAGAAGGGTTTCTTCTTTCTTGCTTCACGAGGTGGGCTGAATATAATTTTAGTTTTGTTGAATAGTGCCTTGTTTCGTCACTTTAAGTAATTCCTTTCAAATCTGTGTATAGCTTTGGAAATCTGAAATCTGCCTCTGAGAGTGACCACAGTTCTCAACCTGTCAAAAGTATCCACTCTGAGCTGTTGGCTGCAAATCACTTCAAAAGACTGCGTACAACTGGAATTCATAGGTATGTATGTGGAGTCCCGTAGTATAGCGGAACTCGCCTCGCAAATGAGGACCTGGGTTTCATTCTTGGACGGGGAGAAACCTTAGGCAAGTTTCCTTACTCCACACGTCTCTGTTTACCTCGCAGTAAGCAGGAACCCAGTTGTTATTCGATTGGCGGAATGCTTTACGGGGGTAATAATCCCTTCAAAAACAAATTAGTCATTCAATCAAGGACTGTTTTTGGGTCACGGCTTTGCGCGATTGGCTGCCGCGTTTGGCTGTTCCGCTTTCACTAAAAGCTTTATTGTTTTTAATCGTCTCCGGGGTTCAATCTCTTGTGCTGCGGATTGTATTACTTAATTATTACTAACCTGTTGCTGCCCACCTCGAGGAATGATTCCTGTCTTGTTTGCTGTAGATCACCAGGTGGGACTCCATCCAAAACACCCCGCAGTCTCGCACTGGAAGAGGAGGTGAACTCTCCTGCATCTGCCTTCAACGCGACTCTGCTAAATAAATTCCGCAATACCAAGAGCCCCGCAGAAAGCATGCCGCGCTCACCATCCACCAGTGACAGTGAGAACTCGGCATTCGCCACACCTTCAGAGACCCCGTGAGTCAGTCTCTGCCACCTCGCCTTTTACCAGCCACTTACACAGCTCTGGCCCCCATCACACTGACTCTCAGTTAGAATTCAAGAACATTTCTCATGAAATTTACGCTTGGTGGATAGAGGGTCTTCTATATGATCGCTTTGCTTTATTTATGTATTGGTGTGCATAGGGTATGAGGAATCTCATTACTATTTTAATAGTGATTCAAATGCAAAATAATAATCCAAAAGGAGTTACAAATTCTACCTTTAGCTATTTCAGACATGCCGGCTGGAATTTGTGCCACGTTCTAAGTCAAGGTGGATGCATTCTGCCTGAATAGTTTGTCCACGTTTCCTGCGGCACCTTATTTTTAACTCATTATTTGAAGCCTGATTTGGTTTTCAAAAGGGGCTCCAGGAATTCTTGGAACATATCAACATTTTAAAGATCCAATTGAGACCGTTTGAAACAGTTTTACTCAATACGTTTAAGGGGAAAATTGATGAATATCTGAGGGAAAATAATAATTTCTGAGAATAATTATAATAACCGGGGGTGGGGATTGAAATGACAGAGGCTCCTATACAAACACTGGGCCAAATGGCCTACTTTGGTGTTGTAGATTGAGTGTGTGTGAATATTGAGCTTCAAAGCTATTATCCTACAGCATTATTTTCTGCTCTGCCTTTTCCCGTTTTAAAAACACGATGGGTGAATGCCGACAATCTGCAGATACTAACCCTGACTAGGCTTCCTGTCCAATTTCCTGTAGCTGCAGTTGCAGCCCACATGTGTTTGTGTGTGTGGGAGAGGTGGGGCTGATTTGGTTGTATATACAATGGGATGATAACAATTCGCTGCAAAATGGCCTGTATTTTGCAACTAATTTAAACAGACGCTCGCCTCACCCTCATCACCAGAAAAATCTATCAGATCACCTTAACGTGTTTTTAAAAGGGTATTAGAGCACAACCATAACTGGTATTAAGGGGCTTTTTCTTTGCCCCCTTCCACACATCAAAATCTGGAGCCGTATCTTTAATATTACATTATACCAATTTTTGGCAGCCTTTTGGATGAGGCCTTGGCTGCCTGCTTAAGTGGCCCATTTAAAGATCCCGTGTCATTTGAGAAAACAAGGGAATTGGTATCCTGGCCAACAATTGAATAATCTTAACCAAAACTGAAGGTTATTTAGTTATATAGCAGTGACCACAACAGCTGTATACTGTTATTACGTCATGTTGTGATAATTGACAAGTCTGAATTCTAGACAGTCTGAATTCTAGACTGTCATTTAACATGTGGAGCACTTGGAAAATCTCTATTTCAGTTGGTTTAGTTTGTTCCAACTAAAATTCTTCCTGAAAATGACTGGATATTTTCGCAAAGATTCAAAAAGAATTGCTAAACTGAAGGGAAATTGTATATAATTTGCTTAATAGCCCAATACTTTACCTATCTATGTTGGGCTATACTGCGACTTTTTAGCTGAAATGTATGTAGTGAGGCCCTGAGTGTATCTTGCTGAATTCCTAGACTGTTATATCTGTTGTTGGGTTTCTATTTTTTATTCTTTAAAAAATAATTTGTAATTGAAGGATTTTATATGGAGAGTCCACCAACAACAACTTGCACTTATATAGCGCCCTCCACGCAGGGCAGTGTCTCAGACCAATGGCAGCTTCCTTTATTTTAATTTTACAGAGTCTTGTAGAAGGTCATTACCTGATCTGATGAATTCAACATTGACTCTGTTTGAATTACACAAGGTTCTCACAAAGTACTATTCAGGGCCAAACTAATTAAGAGAATATTACAAGGATATGAGCTTTAAAAACAATTCTGATTCTATTTTTCTAAAACATTTGTATGATTTTATTTTCTAGATTTGCATAGCGATTGACTGTTGTTGTGCTAGTAGTTTTTTGCCTGTGTTTCAGCTTCAGACTGTGCTTACTGGTGTGGGAATGGGAATGCAATATATTGGTGTGTGATTAAAAACTGGCAATGCTATCCAAGTGTTATGAAATAAAACACACAGCGTTTTCTTGACAGTTGCCTGTATCATGTAATTGCTCCCAATGGAAGAACACTGCAACATATAGCTCATACGATACTACATTGAGTCATAATGCCTTACTCAGAACTTAGCTCCTACTTTCAATAGAAAATCTGAGTCACAATTCAAGCCAGTCTAATTTCAGCTGAGACTTGGTCTGGTTTACTTAACTTTTGCCAAATTTCTGACTTTTGTTTTGTGTGTGATTCTTGCACTATTTGAATTGAAAGTTTAATAAATTACACTGAATACACAGATCAGCTCAGTCTTTCATTTTATTTAATCCAGGAAGTGAACCCTCTTAATGCCCACAAAGTGCTAATTGGTTCAAACCACATTGTTCCTAATGTCGTGTCAACGATCACTTATAGAGTCTGTGTAAAAGGTAAATATGGAGCAAGATATTTACATATCATACTCTTCACTATACTCCACATATTGCAAGGAACATGATAAGTAGTAAAAGTTCCTGATGCACTAATAACCACTATACGTAGTAAAATTATCATATAATAAATCTATTGCACTTTTAGGGATTTTTCAGCCTGAAGGTTTCACTCTCTGACAGGTATGACAGCACCTCTCCACAGCGAGCATCAATTTTCAGAGTAGCCAAAGCATCTGCTCTGGTCGCCCCAATGTTCAACAATGCAATTGGCAGCTTCTTCTCATGAGCTGCGACAATGAATCTGTATCCTGAATATACCTGTAAGCAGAACAAAGGTGGAATCAGCTACTCATGTTTACGTCTTACCCAGGCATGTGCAATGCAGAAAAGCAGGCTTGAATTCAACATGGAGTGGGAAACAAAGGCATTTCCTGAATACATTATGTTACAAAGCCCTGAGGTATTTGGGCTTGGAGACTTGGTTTTAACTCCAAAGTTTAAAGAGTCTTTCACAGACACAGAAAAATATAGACTAAACGAATTACTGATATAACAGAGATGATTTATCCACACTAATTGGTTCCAGACCTACTGCAGAAAATGTGTGTACATACTTAATAAAACTCACTGAAATTTGTTTCTATTTTCAATGAAATTCAGGGAAAAAAATATTTTTTTTACTGATCGTCTTTCTCCAAAACTGCAAGTACCTGATGGTGAAAGTCAATAAAAGAAACTATTTTTGTAATATAATAATATATATAATAATAATCTTTGCATTTGAGATAGCGCTTTTCACGTCGGGAGGACGTTCCAAAGCGCTTCACAGAACACACTAAAGTGAATTGACTGTATATTTGTGGGCGAACGCGGCAGCCAATTGCGCACAGCAATGTCCCACAAACAGTCATAGATTGAAAATGACCAATTTATTATTTTTTTTATATATACTCTTTAAGTGGTACTGTTATTCGCATGACACAACTAAACCCAGGTTCTGTTGGGTGATATAGACGAACATCACAGATAGCATAGGACTGTTTCAAAGGAATGCAGGAGAATCTGTGTTAGGCCCTGGTTTTGAGTCCCATCACTCACTCACCTGAAGAGAAGAACCTGCAACCAAGATCGCATCTGACTCAGCAAGACGCTGATGAACAAAATTAACTTTCTCCCTGTTCACGGAGTCTCCAAAAAAGGTGACGTCGGGTTTCAAAATGCCACCACATCTCTGGCATTCTGGAATGAGGAAATTTTTCACTTGCTCATCAGTCAGGAAAACATCTCCATCTGGAGCCACTCCATGGCCTTCCTCATCCCAGCCAGGATTCAAAGCTAAGAATTGTTCCTGAAGGTGAGTTCTCAAGGTCATATCCTTACAGTTGAGGCAGATCACCCTGTGTGTACAGCCATGAAGCTCTGTAAGCCGCTGGCTCTCTGCCTTCCCGTGCAAAGCATCTACATTTTGAGTTACCAGCCAGTGGACTTTTCCCAGCTTCTCCCAGTGACTCAAAACCCAGTGGGCCACATTTGGCTGGTGGGAGCTAAATTGGGGCCAGCCAATATAGTTCCGTGCCCAGTATCTTTGCCTAGCTCTGGCACTGCAGATGAATTCTGAGTGTTGAATGGGACGCCGTTCTGTTCTAGCGTAAAGTCCCACTGCTTCAGAACGGTAATCGGGAATGCCAGATTCTGTCGACATCCCCGCTCCTGTCAGTACAAACAGCTTCTTGGACCGGGAGACAAATTTTTGGAGATCCTCTAGCTTGATGGAGTCCGGAGGAGGACTAGTGGGAACAAAAGCCAAGCTGGGCGCAACCAGTGAACTGAATCTGCAACAACCGAGTCTTGGAAATGTCAATCTCTCAGTGGCTGTAAGCAGAGGCAGAAACTGCATCTACAGAATAAATATAATCTTTAGTGTAAACACAGAGAGCAAGGAAAGAATGCTTAGTGAGTGCTATTGCAAGTATAGAAACATCGCATGATTGTTTACCACATTTAAAATCCCCTCCAACACTTTCTATCCTATCCCCTTTATCACAAAATCCAGAAATCCCAAGTGTTCAGGGTGTTTTATTGTATCCTGGAAATCATGGAGATTTCTAAACTCTGCTGTCTCACATGTTCCTAATTATACTCAGTCCATTTACCTTAGTAATCCAAATTACTGAGGTCTAGAAGGGATATCACTGGAATGTGGAATTGGCATAATTTGGATAAAGTAGATTAAAAGTGAGACGTTGGCCACAAATAGGGCAAACAAACATAAATCTATGCACATTATAAAAGATGCACATCAATAATTGTTGATTTACTGAAAATAACCCAAGAAATTGGCACCTACTGCAAGATTTGTTAGCAGTATAGCTACACCAACAAGCAATGGTTTATTTTCCATAACTAACAATGTAGATTATATTACAACAGAACTGTACAATTCTAAAGTAATGCTTTAGACACCATTTTACATTAGGTTCTGTTATGTGTTTGGTAAAGTCACAAACCATATCACCATGCAATTGATGTCAACTGTGTTGCTTCTAAGCTTATTTCAGTCACTTAAATGACACCCAAAAGTTATTTCAAACAGATCAAATTTTTGCTACTTGAAAATTGTAAATTTGGGTGCAACAGTTGTATAATTAGTTTGTAACCTTGGATTTAGCAAAGCATTAGCCTGGGACAGCTATGAAACAAAATAAAATAGAATTTTATATCAAAATGACAACGTCAAAAAGTCCTGAAACACTTCAGAGGTTGTAAAGTGTAGTCGTGACTGTGAATCTGTAGGAGAGTGCCAGAGCAAATTTGCAGACAGATTCAACAACAACAAATTACATTTGTATAACACCTTTCACGTCAGATCCAATCCCGCGGGCTACAAACGGCCACGACATGAATAATCAATTTATCTGGAGGATTGTTGGCCAGACATCAGGATAAAGTTCCTTTTTTTTTAGAAAAGTGCAATTAAATCTTTAACATCCACCTGAATAGGCAGACGGGATCTCTCGTCCAAAGACAGAACCTGTATCAGTGCAGCACAATCCCTGAACTGCACTGGATTGTCAGCCCAGACAATGAGTCTCTTGATTTATGGCATAAAACAAAACCTATTCAATTAAGATTTACTTCTTTTATTGGCAAACCATAAAAGTTAATGAATTGTCACCGTTCGCCGACAAAAGTACAAATTCAGGGACACTGTGAAACGCCCTCGAGTGCCTCCACACATCCTGAAGTGGCAGCCGGAACCCACAACCTTCTGGCCCTGAGGAAAGACTGCTGATTGAGCCAAGCTGACAAGGGGGGGGGGGGGTTGGGGGGGGCAAGCTGACATGGGGGGGGGGGGAGGGGGCAAGCTGACATGGGGGGGGGGGGGGGGGCAAGCTGACATGGGGGGCAGGGGGCAAGCTGACATGGGGGGGTGGGGGGGCAAGCTGACATGGGGGGGGGGTGGGGGGGCAAGCTGACATGGGGGGGGGGGGGGGGCAAGCTGACATGGGGGGGCAGGGGGCAAGCTGACATGGGGGGGGGTGGGAGGGGGACAAGCTGACATGGGGGGCGGGGGGCAAGCTGACATGGGGGGGTTGAGGGGGGGGCAAGCTGACATGGGGGGGCGGGGGGGCAAGCTGACATGGGGGGGGCGGGGGGCAAGCTGACATGGGGGGGCGGGGGGGGAAGCTGACATGGGGAGGGGTGGGAGGGGGGCAAGCTGACATGGGGGGGGGGCAAGCTGACATGGGGGGGCAGGGGGCAAGCTGACATGGGGGGGCGGGGGGCAAGCTGACATGGGGGGGCGGGGGGGCAAACTGACATGGGGGGGCGGAGGGGGGAAGCTGACATGGGGGGGTTGGGGGGGGGAAGCTGACATGGGGGGGTTGGGGGGGGAAGCTGACATGGGGGGGTTGGGGGGGGGGAAGCTGACATGGGGGGGTTGGGGGGGGGAAGCTGACATGGGGGGTTGGGGGGGGGGAAGCTGACATGGGGGGGTTGGGGGGGGAAGCTGACATGGGGGGGTTGGGGGGGGGGAAGCTGACATGGGGGGCAGGGGGCAAGCTGACATGGGGGGGGTTGGGGGGGCAAGCTGACATGGGGGGGTTGGGGGGGGAAGCTGACATGGGGGGTTTGGGGGGGGAAGCTGACATGGGGGGGTTGGGGGGGGAAGCTGACATGGGGGGTTTGGGGGGGGAAGCTGACATGGGGGGGTTGGGGGGGGAAGCTGACATGGGGGGGGCGGGGGGGGAGGGAAGCTGACATGGGGGGGGGGGGGGAGGGAAGCTGACATGGGGGGGGCGGGGGGGAAGCTGACATGGGGGGGTTGGGGGGGAACATGACACACTGCCCTAATATATATCCCGCGAAGCGCTTCCAGACGCCTCGAAGTCGCGATGAGGCGCTGTGTCAAACGCGAGGATTATTATTAATATTATTAGTTATTATTATTTATTATAAAGCGCTTCACGGGATTTACTGTCAAGTGAATTGACGGTGTATGTTGTGGGCGAAAAAGTAGAGGTGGGGGACGGGCGGGAGAGGCCGGACCCGGACACCGCCCACACCTCAGGGGAATCCAGTGATCGCCGCCGCGGACACTTACTCTGCCGGGATCCCGCCGCTGGGGCCAGGCCGCCGCCCCCCGGACACCAGGCCGCCCCCCCCGACACCAGGCCGCCCCCCCCGGACACCAGGCCGCCCCCCCCCGACACCAGGCAGCTCCCCCCCGGACACCAGGCCGCCCCCCCCCGGACACCAGGCCGCCCCCCGACACCAGGCCGCTCCCCGGACACCAGGCCGCCCCCCGGACACCAGGCCGCTCCCCCCGGACACCAGGCCCCCCCCCCGGACACCAGGCCGCCCCCCCCCGACACCAGGCAGCTCCCCCCCGGACACCAGGCCGCCCCCCGACACCAGGCCGCCCCCCCCGACACCAGGCCGCCCCCCGACACCAGGCCGCCCCCCCCCGACACCAGGCCGCCCCCCGACACCAGGCCGCCGCCCCCCGACACCAGGCCGCCCCCCGACACCAGGCCGCTCCCCGACACCAGGCCGCCCCCCCCCGGACACCAGGCCGCCCCCCCCCGACACCAGGCCGCCCCCCCCCGACACCAGGCCGCCCCCCCCCGACACCAGGCCGCCCCCCCCGACACCAGGCCGCCGCCCCCCGACACCAGGCCGCCCCCCCGACACCAGGCCGCCCCCCCGACACCAGGCCGCCCCCCCGACACCAGGCCGCCCCCCCCGGACACCAGGCCGCTCCCCCCCCGACACCAGGCCGCCCCCCCCCCGACACCAGGCCGCCCCCCCCGACACCAGGCCGCCCCCCCGACACCAGGCCGCTCCCCGACACCAGGCCGCCCCCCCCGGACACCAGGCCGCCCCCCCCCCGACACCAGGCCGCCCCCCCCGACACCAGGCCGCCCCCCCCGACACCAGGCCGCCCCCCCCGACACCAGGCCGCCCCCCCCCGGACACCAGGCCGCTCCCCGACACCACGCCGCTGTTGCCGTGGAAACACTACAACTCCCAGAATGCTCCGCGAAGCGAGCGGGAGGGTGTGGGCGGGGCTGGAGACGCGCATGCGCGCGGGTGCGCGAGTCGGAGGCGGCCATTGGTCAGCACGTGGGTGTGAGTGGGCGGGACCCGCCTTCCGTCCGACCAATAGCAGCCTCGGCGGCGTCAGAACAGCAACAGTCTCGCCATTCTGACCAATAGGAGGTCGCGCGGCCGCACAGCGCTGCCATCAGCGGGACAGGTGGCGGCGCCCGGGGAGGAGACCGGGGCCGGGACCGGGCTGGGCCGGGCCGGGGAGCGGCTGCAGCGCACCGGCCGGGAGCTGTAACTGAGGCAACTTTCCGGGGCAGTCGGGGCCGTCTGCGCTGCAAAGCCTTTCGGTCTGACGGGAGGATCCGTGTGCGCCGCTTCCGCTGCCGGGATCGGAGGCACTGCAGCTTCCGAGTGAAAGGGAGAGAGAGAGAGTGAGTGAGTGAGAGAGAGAGAGAGAGAGTTGTGTGAAGAGCGTGAGTATGGGATCCGGAGGAGCGGCAAACTCCGAACCTCTGTCTCTGTCGCACAGTGTGACATTGGGTTCGTTTCAAGAGACGTCTTGAGCGGTGGAGAAAACCCGTCTTGAAGTACAATGGTCCCGGCACTCCATACAGTGCCTTACACGTGGGCAGGAGGGCTGCAAAGCGATTTACCGTGAGGTGTAGTGACTGAACGCCATCTGACCGAATGGTTAAATGATTAAAATTATCAGGTGTGGCTTTTATGAAATAACGTACTCAGCTTTTTTTTTCTCTAAAGGTACCTTCAGCTGTTTGGGTTTACGTGGAGCCCTTCACGCATTCCTCCGGTCAGTCTGCGAGTCGGTGGAGGAGAATTTCCACATCTCAAGGTTTTGTTTTTGGTAATTACACAGATCGCCTTATTGGGGAGTATCTAAGTCAGTAGTAGAATACGACCCAACTACCGGGCCAGGCTGGTCCCGGGCACTACCTACTACCCAGTAAGGCAACCGTCATAATTACCCCCAAAAAAGTTTGACACGTGGAAATTCTCCTCCATTGAATAACAGACTGACCAAAGGAGTCCCGAGCAAACCCTGACACTGTCAGTTTACCTCCTAACCCTGGATGACTGCGAAGATTCCACTCTAGTGGGTAAAATGCACAAAAGTCCCTTCATGGGCATTGTAAATGTGTACTCTGTACTGAAAAGAATAATAAGGTTTGGGAGGTGTATCAGAGAGAAACATCTGATACACTTGCCATGGACCAGACCATTGCTCCATTGAAATGGGGAATTAGGAAGACCAGGTTTCCAGGATTTCTGACAGTCAAAGTGCCCTATAGATGTGCATAGAATGCTCTGGGGGCTTATAGTATGAGAGTCACTCTATAATAATGATATTTGGTTCTGAGAAGAAAGTGGATTTTAATGATCAGGTTCAACGGTTGAGGGCTGGTATTTATGAAGGCTGTTTGTCTGCAAGTCAAGCTCCATACAAGCTCAGATGTGATGAGAAAGCCTGCCTTGTTGACGGCACCAACTGAAGTTCAGTTCCTTCTCTTCCAGCTCTACTCACCCTGGACCAACATGCCAATTCCCTGCAGCAGCTGTGAGAAGAAACTGGCTGTCCTGAAGCGACCAAAGACCGGCCACTCCCTTTGTAAAGATTGCTTCTTCTGGGCCTTTGAGGAAGAGACTCATCAGACCATCACTTCCGCAAAACTTTTCCACCAGGGAGAGACGGTGGGTATTGGCGCGTCTGGAGGAAAAGACTCGACAGTCTTGGCTCATGTCCTAAAAGTACTGAATGAGCGGTATCACTATGGGTTGAATCTAATCCTGCTCTCTGTGGACGAGGGGATAACCGGGTATCGCGATGACTCCTTAGAGACAGTCAAGAGAAACCAGCAGCAGTATGACCTCCCTCTCAAAATAGTTTCCTATGAAGAGCTGTACGGTTGGACGATGGATCAGATTGTGAAGAAAGTTGGTTTGAAGAATAATTGCACGTTCTGCGGAGTGTTCAGGAGGCAAGCACTTGACCGGGGGGCCATGATGCTGAGGGTGGACAAGGTGTGCACAGGTAACGCAGCATTCAGTCACTGTTCATCCCAACTACGTCACGCACCTTATTCCGTTTCTTGTCTGATCAGCCTCCTGCTTAGCACAGTGTTGCACGTTGTCTGGTATCAGATCCTGCGATGAAGGATGAATCATCAGCTCAGTTAGTGATAATTGCATCTGATTATACAGTTACCATCAGCACAAAACAGTTCCTCACACACAGGGAGAGTCGTGCCATACCACAGTCAGTGTTGAGGGATTGCTGCATTATTATAACAAGCAATGTTGCTGAAACATCTCAAAACATTTCATGGGATTTACTGTATTTTCACCCACAAAGTATACAGTCAATTCACTTTACAGTATATTCTGTGAAGCGCTTTGAGACGTCTCGAAGACGTGAAAAGCGCTATATCAAATACAAGGATTATTATTACTATTGTAGAATAGTAATTCTTTTTTTATCTACAAAATACAGACACTATATTCTAGTCTCAGTGTCTCTGAGTGTCTCATATAGTGTCTAGAATATAGTGTCTCACTAGAATATAGTGTCTGTATTTTGTAGATAAACCCTGCATTGAATTTGCTTGAAATGCTTTGAGATACCTGGACGATGTGGTGATAAGGCGCCATATCAAATGATATCAAGGATTATTATTAACGGAGTTCTCCTATCCAACAGGTCACAATGCTGACGACATTGCTGAGACAGTGCTGATGAACTTCCTGCGCGGTGACATCGCCCGACTCAGGCGCTGCACGGCGATCACCACGGGCAGTGAGGGGGCCATCCCGCGGTGCAAGCCGCTGAAGTACGCCTACGAGAAGGAGATCGTGCTGTACGCTTACTTCAAGAAGCTGGACTACTTCTCCACCGAGTGCGTGTACTCGCCCAACGCGTATCGCGGCTACGCCCGGGCTTTCCTGAAGGACCTGGAGTCCATCCGACCGAGCGCCATCATGGCCGTGATCCACTCGGGCGAGAACCTGTCTGTGAAGGAGGACGTGAAGATGCCGGTTCAGGGCACGTGCGGTCGCTGTGGCTACATCTCCAGTCAGGGACTGTGCAAAGCCTGCGTGCTGCTGGAGGGGCTGAACCGCGGGCTGCCTAAACTCGGCATCGGCAAACACCACAAGCTGCACAGTCGGCTGCTCAGGGACCAGCCTCTCACGGAGAGAGAGGAGAAGAAATTGAAGTCGGTCGACTTTTGAACACGCACAACTTCATTTCTTCTTTTAAGAAAAACAATTCCTCCGCAAATGATTTGTTTTTAAAACGGTAGGAAATCATTTGTGGTCAGGGCGGCAGTTGTGTCTGACCTCCAGCAGAGTGTAGCACTGATGCCCCCGTGCTATGGTTCAGCCCTGTGTTTCACCTCATTATCTGCCGTGCGCGGGTCTTAGTTTTGTCATCCGGTGAAAGTCAATGTATTTTTTTCCCCAAATACACCATCTATATTGGAGCTTTGTGATGTAAATTCAGTCATTAGCACCAAGTCCGAAATGAGTCTTCATAAGAACATAAGAATTTGCTAGGCAAAAGAAGACCATCTGGTCAGTCGCTTGACATGTCGTATCCCAAAGATATTATTTTCTAGCAGAAATCTATCTAACTTATTCTTGAAACAAACAAAATTTTCTGCTTCCAGCGTCTCCTTAGGGAGCCTGTTCCATCTTCATAGGATCTGCATCCGGGGACAATGGGAGACTTATTACCAGGATTATCTCATGATCTAGTGTTTTGGGACATCCAGTGGTTTATTCCCTAAACTCGAAGTTGCTAATGTGAGGAGATCCTGGCTGCAAGGTCTGCTCCTACAGGTCACTATTAGGGGGAAGGGAAGAAGAGGAGACCTTGAAAACAAAATCCCTCCTACATTCTCCTGGACGTGGGTTGAGAAAGTTCACAGTTGGAGCTTAGATTTGGAAATTATATTTCAGGTTGATTCAGAAATATTTGGTTTTAAATCCATTAATATATTAACCTTTGATATATTCTCCATTAATCTTAATTAATTTAATAATAATAATCCTTGCATTTGATATAGCGCTTTTCATGTCGGGAGGACGTCCCAAAGCGCTTCACAGTAAAGTGAATTGACTGTATGTTTGTGGGTGAACTCGGCAGCCAATTGTGCACAACAATGTCCCACAAACAGTCGTCGATTGAAAATGACCAATTTATTATTGTTTTTGGTTTTGGAGGGATTATTATTTAATTCTGAAGGAGGGATTTGGAGGAATGGCTTTTCATAGTGACTGTCAGTAACAGGGATTGTACTCTAGCTGTCCAGCCCTTCGTTACTGATGAGAAATATTTGTGTCCAGCTGCTGAATTTGTATTTATTACATCGGATTTTATTTTAATAAAAAGGTGCTAGTGTGAGCAACAATCATTGTAAGGCTATCTAGTCCCACACTGAACAAAGTGGGGGTAATCCATTTTTCAGAAATGCTGTGTGTGGAGGGTTTTCATGTTTTGTGAAAGCCACAACAACAACTTGGATTTATATAGCGCCCTCCACACTGGACGGCGTCTCAGAGCGCTTCACAGTAACGGATCCCAGGACCGAAGCAGGGGGAAGGGTGGAAGGTGACCAAAGGCGCGGTCGAAAAGAAAGGTCTTCAGCAGAGACCTGAAAATAGGAAGGGAGGGAGCGAGGCGAAGGGAGTGAGGAAGGGAGTTCCAGAGCCTCGGGGCATAGTGGCTGAAGGCACGGCTACACAGGACTTGCAAATCAAATGATGATAATAATAATAATCCTTGCATTTGATATAGTGCCTTATCACATCTTCGAAATGTCTCAAAGCCCTTCACAGAACATACTGTAAAGTGAATTGACTGTATATTTTGTGGGTGAAACGAGCAGCCAATTGTGCACAGCAGCGTCCCACAAACAGTCGTGGTTTGAGTGACCAAATTATTTTTGTTTAGAAGGAATTATTACCACTAGAAAAGCGATCTGCCAATTGACTAACAACCGGGTTCCTGCTTACTGCTGGTAAACAGAGGCGTGTGAAGTAAGAAAACCTGCACAACGTTTCACCCTGCCAGAGAATGAAACCCAGGTCTCTCGCTGTGAAGCGAGTGCTCTAACCACTGAGCTACAGGCTATTATGTGAAATCCTTTCCCAATGGCGCATCCAGCCCCCTGTCCTTGGATTCAGAGTCTCTATGAAGATTATAGCCCACATTGTCTTCCCTTTCACAATCACATGTGACTTGGCCGAGTGTATTTCTTCACGTGTTCAGTTTTCAGACGTGTTTAATCATAAATCACAGCTTGTAAAAGATATGGATTATAGATTGGGTATTTGATGTCCCATGTTAATTTTTAATCGATGATTTTATATATTTTGTACTTGTGTTTCTATGATTGTTCTTAGTGTAGTTTCCTATCAGTTGTTTAAAATCTCCAGCAGCAGATTTTATTCATTCATTTGGAGGTTGTTGTCTGCTTTGTTGGTTGAGAGAAAGCCTTCTTTACAGTCCCATTTCTGAAGTTCAATATAAAGTGCCTCCACTGGTTCACGAATAAACCGAGTGTATTTATGGACGAGGTAAGAAAGTTTTCTGACTGAAAGATTTTATAAAGAGACAACATTGTCTTATAATAATCCTTTCATTTGACATAGCGCCTTATCACATCATCGAGATGGCTCAAAACGCTTCACAGAATAAAGTATGAAGTGAATTGACTATAATTATGTCAATCATGCAATTGGTCTTGCTTCCCGGTTGCATTATCGGCATTATTAATAACACATAAAGTGACCAATGCCAGCAGCATTGGAAGATGCTGATTACATTTAAAGGAACGCTGCCCACCTTTTGTATTGCACACGGATAGCAGACTGCTCTATACACTGTGTCTTTCTATATTCTCTACTTCTGTTTTTTTTGAGTTCATTCATGGCATAATTCTGATTCGATGAATGATGACAACTAATCTTAAAAAAGTCTAGCGATCAACCTTCATACCACATAAGTGATTTCACTTTCTGATCCACTTGCCCACAGGCTCTGGATTATGAATGTCCCTGATGTTTCTTTCTCCTTTAGCTGTCTATCTGTCCCTTTCATTGATGTTTGAAAGGCTGTTATTACACACAAAAAACATTTTTACATAACTGCAGCTTTTTTTTAAACGCAGAAGATGTCACGAAGGGAAGAGACTTTGTTTAGCAATAACTTTCTATTTCTAAAACTAGAATTTGGAACAAAATGGATAAGGTATTTCTCCTGATGCCTTGGCTGACTATTTGCAAATCATGCGCAGGAGGCATTTATTGTAACATTAATTAATGTCTTTAAACAAGAGCAGCTCTTGAATTAATCCCTTATAAAATGCCCAAAAGATTTGCTGAATTTGTGGATCCTATTTATTGCACATTTTTTGCCATTTGAGACGATCCTTGGTGGGTCAAATCATCTTTTATTGTGCACTTATGCTCTTTTAATTCATCTTTTTTATGGTTTAGCTCATTTTAGTCCATACAGATCCCAATCATTCTATTCTTAATAATAATCAATAATAATCCTTACATTTGAAGTAGCACCTTTGATATTGGAAGAACATCCCACAGCGCTTCACTTTACTGTAAAGTGCTGTGACTGTGGAAGCAAATGCAATAGCTAATTTGTGCACACATTCAACTAAACAATGAATGACTAATTTTATTTAGGGGATGGTTGGCCAGGACACTGGGAGAAATAACCTTCTATTTTCAAAAGTGCCATGTCATCTTTAACATCCACCTAAACAGGCACCCGGGACCTTGATTTAACGCCTTTTCTGAAGGATTATTCCTTCCGTCAATGCAACACTGTATTGAACTGTCATCTTAGATTGTGAGTTCACCCTGAGATCAATAATGAATGCTGAAACAGTGGAAAATGAGTCTGTTGGATTATTAACAAATATAATTCACACCTCCGACAGTGAACTGTCTTCACGAGTGTCTTTCCTGTATTAATTGCTTGTGGATTCAAGGCAAATAAATTATATATCTAGTTTTAGATGTTAAAACATCTGGAAGCACTTCACAGAATTTTCTGCAAACTAGTGAGTGTATTTGCATGCCAGTGACGGTGATTGAGAGTGGCAGAGCAGTTAGGCAAATCATAGACTGATTGAGCTCACTGACATTGGGTTGTATTGAGTGAGACATGCACCATGTTAGACAAAGTATGGGGCCAATGGAAGAGGAGTTGCAACTCCAGAACACCTCCACAACTGGATCAAATATATAAGACACCATTCATAAATTAGTTTTAAAAACAAAAATAAAATGAGAGTAATTGACTTAACAACTGGGTTCCTAATCACTGTAGGTAAACAGGCATGTGGAATAAGGAAACTTGCCCAACCTTTTGCCCTGCCCGGGAATTGAACCCATGTCCTAACCGCTAAGCTAAAGGACTCCATGGCATTAGTATAGAAATTTACAGCAAAGAAGGAGGTATTCAGTCCATTGCGCCTGTGCCGCTTCTAAACGATCCACCTCGTAAAACATTTCTCCTAACCTTTCCCTTTGTTGGTTTGATGTTCATTGTATATGAAGTTTGTTTCAATCTTTGATTCTGATGATAATAATCCTTGGATTTGAAATAGCGCCTTTCAAATCAAGAGGACGTATTAATGTGCTTCACAGGATATACAGTAAGTCTGTGGACCGTATACTTGTAGGCAAAAGGGAAGCCTATTTGCCCACAGTAATGTCCCACAAACAGCCATGAAGTGAATGATTTGTTTTTTTATTTGGAGCATTAATAATCTCTTCTGGTGAATTAACATTTCCTGTGTCTCTTTCCCTCACTGCTCTGTAAACAGTATCCTTTTGACGCCAGATGGCGATGTTGTGCTTAACGAGTGAATCTGAATCATTCAGTCTGGCCCAGACCCCTGTTTTTTTGTGGGTGGGTGAACACCAGCCCAAATATTTGAGATCGTCTCATTATGGTCCCGTTTACGATGTCTCCCATTTTGTGCAGTTTAGTACTGAGGTTGCAAACATAGAACACGATAGTTATGGTGATAGTTACACGTGAAACAAGACTTCACATTGTATTTATCATAGTTCTGCAAGACGTACCGTTTTGACCGCTTTTATTTTGGGAGATGAGTTTAAAGCTGCACAGGAATATTTTGGTCAAAATGTTCCATCAGGAGTCCTGGATAAAGAAGCAAGGAACAGTGTATCGTGTCATAGTAGAACTTCCATATAAATAAGATGTCCGGTACAAAACTCCATAGTGGTGTTATAATAATAATAATAATCCTTGCATTTGATATAGCGCTTTTCACGTCGGGAGGACGTCCTAAAGCGCTTCACAGAACACACTGTAAAGTGAATTGACTGTATATTTATGGGCGAACGCGGCAGCCAATTGCGCACAGCAATGTCTCACAAACAGTTGTAGATTGAAAATGACCAATTTTATTATTGTTTTTGGTTTTGGAGGGATTATTATTAGGCTCTGTGTGGAGTAAGGAAACTTGCCCAAGGTTTCGCCCTCTGCCTGGAATTGAACTCAGGTCTCTCACTTGCA